TGAAAATAACCTATCCTGATTTGCCACCTCAGGGAGTTGAATTTTGGGAGTATATGTAGTAGAACTCTATTGACTCTATTAGAATGTAGTATATGTTCATACCTACTTTCTCAACCTACTGAAGCACAAAGAGTCAACACCACCTCTACTAAAGGTCGAACCTACAACCTCCCATAGTCAACACCACCTCTACTAAAGCTCGAACCTACAACCTCCCATATGGGAGTGCAACCTTGGTGTCATTCGACCTTGTTCATCCCTCAGTCGGATTATTTAATCTTTATAAAATCTTAATGCATTTTGAAGTAAGTTAATTATTTAAAAATAAATAAATTGGGGCCAAATGTGTTTTTTAATCTATTATTAATACATTTATTAATGTATTTGTTTCCCTTTTAAAAAAAATTATAAATGCATTTAAGTGTAAGAATTGCAATTTTATACATTGTCTGTATAATCCGTACTAATAATAGTTCAATATTTTTTATTAAGTTATTACTTTTTACTAAATGTTCAAAGGTCTTCCATATAATCATTTTGGGGCTTTTACACTGCTAATTTGCATGTGGAAAAAACATCCATCACACAACTTTGGAGAAATCCTGAAACACACAAATATTCAAAAAATAAGAAAACCATGTTAAACCAAATACAATCAACCACCTTCAACATACTGTACCTACAACCAAGTAAACATAGAAGACAGTATGATAATACACACAAAACTCACGAATATGCACAGTTGTACACCAAGAAAAAGCAATATTTGAAAATTACCTAATGCACAAAAAAATCATGTATATAATTTGTCACTCCTTGTTAATTCACGTCACTTGATATTCCCATCAGTTAAAATGCACATGAAACTATCGCTGCATTGCACAGACGAACATAACTTGTTCCTCAAAACACGTTAAATTTAGGTGAACTACACATCCATCTTACGTATTTCTACCACCCATTGCACACAACCCTACGGCCAACTACAAATACAATCTGAAAATGGTGGGGAGATAAACCACAAGAGAAATACAGCGTGAAGAAGAAATCCAACTTACCTTAATTACTATTCCTAGCTAAAAGAAAGCCTATACCACCCAAATTAATTAAAATCATGCATGGGGAAAAAATAACAAAATTACTAATAAAACCCTCTAACAACAAACCCTGTAAATTAATTTTATAAAAGGAGATAAAATCCCAATCACATATCAACAGAAATCAACCATCAAGATTAATCCACATTTCTCATAGGAAAAGTGTCTTCATTTGATCTTAATCTATATAAATAGTATGTTGCTACCTTTTATGCATCTGAGATTTACTATATTCTGAACAATATAATTTTTTTTCTTCTTTTAATAGTATGTTTCTATCTTTATGCATCTGAGATTTAATTTACTGATTTTATCACAAGGAGAAGCTTCAGAGTTCATAATGCTCATTGCCATTATTCACAAAATGATTCAAGAAATTAAACCGAGTGACATATCCTGCATTCAGCTTTAATTTTGATTGGACTACTAGTGGCTATGTACTAACTACTTTGATGTTGAAGGCAAATTATTATGTTGACCACGATTCAAAACGATTTCGTTTTGATGTTAAAAAAAAATAAAAAATTATTGCTCCATACGCGTGTTAAAATAATAAATATTTGGGGGTAAGATAATGTCTTTTATGAGTTAGAATAATGTACTTCATATGCGGCGTTAGAATAATGAAATTTCTGAGGTAAGAAAAATATATTTTATGAGTTAGAATAATGTATTTTATGAGTTTGAATAATGTATAATGTACTTTATGTCTTAAAATAATGAAATTTCAGAAGTAAGATAATGTATTTTATGAGTTAGAATAACGTACGTTTTGAGTTAAAATGATATATTTTATCAGTTAAAATAATATACTTTATGTATTTTTTGAACCGTGATTCACATTACATGCAATAATGATTGGATGTTGAACATGCAAATTAAGAGATGTTTTAGATTCAATTTCGACTTCAGAGGACAACGGTCCATATCCAAACTCAACGCTCCACGGTTTACGTAATAATGATTGGATGTTGATCATGCAAATTAAGAGATGTTTTAAATTCTTTGACAATTTCAAAGGACAAGGTCTATATCGAAACTCAACGCTTGACGGTCCACGCAATAATGATTAGATGTTACGTTGAACATGCAGATTAAGAGATGTTTTGAATTCATTGACGACTTCAAAGGACAGCTGTCCATATCCAAACTCAATGCTTACAAGTTAATTAGTAGCAGACTCAATAGGTAGTGCTTCATTGATTATTATTCTCTTGGTAGGATGATTCAATTAATGAGTAGGCCAAATAAGCTGGCACTATTGACTATTGTTAAAAAAAAAAAAAAAAAAAAAAAAAAAAAAAAAAAAAAAAAAATCGAAACGAAGACCAAAATGCCCACCCTGCCCCTCTCCCTAATAATTATCAAGTTATGATCTATCTAATATTTTTCTCAATATATATATAGGATCCGATCAGGTAAGGACGTGAGAACTAATCTAGACCATTAAATCAGAATGATGCATGACTGAAATTAAAAGAAACAAATCACACGAATTAAGGAAACGGATCTCTTTAAAATATTAAAAAAAATAATAAGTTAGGAGTAAATCAGTCTTATTAGAAGTTGTGCATTACTATACAAAATATCGTGCATTCCAATACTGAGTGTTGTGCATCGATAACTCTCTAGTCGTACATTCAAACACCACCAAAAAATTATACAGTGGACATCCCAATATTTTACGATGCACCAAACTAAGTGCACTAATACAAATCTCACCAGCCTACGGTGCACAACTTACAATAGTAGGTTACACAACCAGCACACACGAATGCACAATCGCGTAGTACTATCTAGGCATTTGTACACCAACATCCAAATATAAGAATTGTCCCCCCCCCCCCCCCCCCCCTATTTCAAATGTAGTTAGAACTCCCACTATGAGGCACTATAGGAGTTTTATTTCTTCTAGGGTTCTTAGTCATTTGTATAAATAGATCCACATACATGGGGAGGGGGCAAATTATACCGTGCACCAGGGACGGCATCGTTTTGAACCTTTTCACGTGTTTGCTGTTAACTCCTTAAAAAAAAATTCATGTTTTGAATATACAGAATTGTATAATAGAATATACATAATTTTATACCTAAAACATAAAATTTTATACCTGAAAACATAGAATTTTATAGCTGAAAATTCCCATGTTTCGAATGTACTGAATTATATAATAAAATGCACAGAATTTTATACCTAAAAACACAAAATTTTATAACTGAAAATTCTCATGTTTCGAATGTACAGAATTATATAATAGAATGCAAAGAATTTTATACCTGAAAATACAGAACTTACCAAAACGACGTCATTTTGGGAGGCGCGGGGCGCACATTGCCATGTGCGCTCTGGTGCACGGTATAACGATTGTGGGGAGGGGGACAATGTGCGCTCTGGTGCACGGTATAACGATTGTGGGGAGGGGGACAAGTAATTATCATTAATACAAGCTATTTATTCTCTCTAGATTCTCTCTATTTTCTCATATACTTGTTATTTTAATGGTAATGTTTGCAAGTCGTTGACTACCCAAAAGTCATAAAACAAACAATGGCGTCGTCTGTGACTGTATTTTAAACTTTACGTTCATTTTTCTAAACGAAACTCATGAAAATCCAAACATGGTCATCACCTGTCAGCAAGAGCTAACCCAGCTCCAATGCGCTGTTGGGTGACTCTGCACAACCGACAGAGAGAAACCTCGAAGACCCCCAAGGCAACATACGATCAACCACTTGTCAAGTTGACGAGCTCTCACCAATCGATCCCGAAAGACATCGCCTGATGGTGGCAAAAGCAGTAAAACGCCTCCAGGAGGCCCTAAGATGCAACCTTGCACCCGAAGAGATGGTTCCCTCGCTAATAGACCCCATTGGTTACCACCAAACACCGGGAATAATCAAACATGATGAGTGATCTATCACCCCCTTATACAATCATGTGCAGGATGGAGAAGGCTCACAATCAGTTAGCTTGGGGGAGCCCTCGGCCGGCCCAGACCCCCCAATCACCTAGCCAGCAGCACACCACGACTCATTAGCAGCAGATCCTCTCAACCGAGTCACAAGTCTTGAGCCACCCTCAAAAGTCAAAACAACAGTGGACTAAATAGCTAGACTTAGTTGAGTACTGGCATAACCCTAATTTTCATACTGCATTACAACTCCCTCCTTTCCAGGCACTCTATGGGTATGCCAACCCATGTTGGCTATCTGCACTTTTGTGGGAATTAACTCGGAATAGGCTAAGGAAAGAGCTACTGGCAATACTACTCTGAAGGGAAATTTGCAGCAAGCTCAGCAGAGAATGAAATACTATGTTGATAAAAGAACTGAGAGAGAACTTCAAATGGGAGACTGGGTTTACTTAAAATACAACCATATAAACAGACTTCCTTAGCAATCAGATCATGCCTCAAGTTGGCCTCTAAGTTCTATGGACCTTATGAGGTATTGGAGAGAATTGGGCTAGTGGCATATAGGCTGCATTTACCACCTGGTTCACTGATAGATCCAGTGTTCCACATTTCATAGTTAAAGAAGAGAGTTGATGTTGGAATACCAGTTCAAGAAGTACACTCCCAACTACAAGTCCTAGTTGAACTAATAGCAGTCCTAGGCAAGCAATGAGCTAATCTTCCCTCGGAAGAGGCAATTTGAGAGAGTTACCATCATGTGAAGACACAATTCCCTGCATTTGATCCTTAGGGACAAGGATCTGCTGATTGCGGCAATGTAATGAACCTGGGGGCAATTCTTAATTCTCAAAATATTAGAACTGATAATCAAAGTAACCCACCAATTAACTGAAATTTGCACATTTCAACCCCAAGTACTGAGATCAGTTTATGAAACCCAAAAGGCAAGACGGAAACACTGAAATAATGCGAGCTGTATAGTCCCAAGTGACAATAATGGTAGTATGTAATCAGCAAGGAGATGGTACAAAATCCATTGTATTATCTATTAAAATGTTTCAAGAACCAACTCAACTCCTAAAATAATTCAGACAACTTTCCAACTTTCAAGTCCCCACTAATGGTTACTAGAAACAATAAATCAACAACAATTTGTAGAAATTCTAAGAAAAACTCCTATGTTACCGCTTACCGGCACAGGGAAGAGAGACAGTGATGAAAATGGTCCAATGTTCAAATCATCCTAGCACAACTGGAATGGGACTCTCTTTGCTTTTGCTCACTTCCCATTACACTGCAATTTCTGTTCCAATATGATGCTGTTACTTCTTTGCCTCATCCTTTGTGTCAATGATCTCAGGGGATCAGACAGCTGTTATGATCAAACTCCCCATATCCAACATCAACAAGACACAGGCCGTCTGGTGGTGCAGGTGGAGCAGTGGCGCGCCTGCAAGTGGCATCCATCAGCTTCAGTAATGCATCTTCATCTGCACCGGCAACTGCTTCCCTGATTGCTGTTGCAACAAGAACTCGAACCATCTACCAAAGAGACTAGGCCATTAAATGATCATCAAACCCGACAAACATAAACATCAAATCAATAGCTGATGTACATATTTCCACAATCACTGGCAGCTTTGAGACATACTAATGAAATCAGTTCATGAACATTTGTAGTATATGTTCATTTATATATAATATAAGCAATTGGTATATTGTACTTCTGAGGGCATTGCCTAGTATCTGGCATTAGTCTCTCAACTGAAATTCCAATCAACATACTCTCCTCTTTAATACTAATGAACATAAAGTTCAATCCAAATCAATTGCATAATTCTTCACAGCTGAAATTCTAATAGGCAAGCAGTTTAAGCAAGCAAACATAAAGTTCAATCTAAATGAGCATCGACTTATACATTCCCCCAAAAAGATCAGGTTTCGTAATCAATCTTGATTTCAGTTTCATATGCTCTGCTTCATGTTATTTGAATTAGCCTCAGGTGCACATTTCATTGTGTCTATAATATGTTTACAATTAGTTTACCTTTTAGGTTCTTTTGAAACAGGCTTCATTTTCATAAGTGAAAAAGCATGTAGCTCTACTGAAATGATCTAAAGGACATGAAACCAACAAAATGCAACTTAAACTTGGGTTACATGGCATCACCATCTGGCATCTGCATGATGGTCAACCCTTAAAGTAAAAATGCTTGGTGTCACATGAATATTTTAACCTTGTAGTAATTACATAAACAAAAGTTCTCAATGTCATAAGGGCCAAACCTAAGATAACCTGTTGTTTCAAATTTTCAATAGGTGCTAATATTACAATTTTTTTGCCCCTGTTCTTTTGTTTTTTTTTTTTTAAATGAAGTAAGTAATACATAACATGTGTGTTTATGTGCACACTAAAAAATCACTATTTACAACTTTTAAATGTAACAATGTAGCATAGATCCTTCGAATGGGCTATTTCTAGAAATGGCATGCCCTCAAATGCAGTTTTACTTAATACTCAACATGAGTTATAATTCTTTTAAAAAGTATTTCTAGAATTTTCATGTGGTACAGCCCCAACTGAATTGAACCATTGAGGTAACAAAATATCCATGTACTTAAAGTTAACTTTTCAATCGCCTTAATATATCAGTGCAACTGGAACTGCAAAGCAGGTATTCCTGCAAGATAATCAACAAAGACAGAGTCTTACCTTGCGCAAAAACCGGTTAGCAACCAACTCAATGCACATTGTCTTCGTATGACTCCCATCCTACATTTCAGCTCAAGAGATTAGACATTTTAACAGATGCTCATAACCTACGACCAAAGTACACAAAATATTCAACTGCCATAATCATCAGACCAGCACCGAGTCCTGAAGCACTTGCATTAAACAGAAAATAAAGTGTCAAATAAAAGAACGAAAAGACAGACCCACAGTTGAAAAAGGCAAAGAATGGAGGAAAATGCAACTAAAATATAAAATCTAATGGGGCCCAGATGGAATTATCCATAAAATAGTATATACATTGGAAGGAAACACTAGAATAAAGTTGATACCATTACTGACTACAGACAACCCATAAAGGAAACCTGATTAAATTTGTTAAAACAGATTCAAAAAGTGTTTTTGACTAAAACAAGTCTACATATATAACCTCAAGACTCATATCTATATACAGTTCTACACTGACACTATTTCAATTGACTTCATTGAAGGGGAAAAGAGAGAGAGAGAGAGAGAGAGAGAGAGAACATTTTATCTAGTTTTCAGATAAACAAAAGCTTAGATTGCCAGAAATACAAAGGGCGTCACAGTGAAATAATACATTAATACAGAAATTGCATATCCAATCAAATCCAAAATAATGTTTTGGAGCTGGTCAATATTGGATTTGCCAGCATCTGAAAGCAAGATGTTACCCTTTTTCAAACAATCTGAGAAAAAAGTTTTGGACCTTGTTTCAAGTAATCTATCAACTCTGACATACAATGCCATGCAACTCTAATGCATTACACGTAAAGTCTAGCAAAACTAGCATACCTTTGCACATGGTAATGAGACCTCAATAGCTCGGGCATGGAAGACAAAGCACTCTGTTGGTGGACCACTGCAATACAAATAGATAAGCTTCAGTGCTTAATCAAGTTTTGAGAATCCAAAGATGGTGCACTTGTAGCTAAACTTATGATGAAATTTACCACATTAAACATATAGCTAATGCATTTAATACATTTATATGCACGCATATTTCTAATTTACCCCTCATATTAGAACTATCAGTCATACAGTTGTTACCAAATGTTCAACTAATGCAGTAGTTTTAATAAATGCACTGGCATGGACCTAAACAAAGACCAGGAAAATATATATTTCAATCATATTAGACAATCATTATTCATTAAGATCTAAACCATGTAATAAGATATTTTATGATATGCACTTTATAGTATAAGACTAGAAATCATTTACGGAGTAAAATGTATTTAATGATGAACATGCAATTCCTTGCACTATTACAGTTACATAAATCTAATTGGGCATCGAACTTTTACATGTTCCTTGAGGGTTTAGTATCTCGTGCAAACATTTTGTAGGATAAAAGCTTTCCTTCTAATTGGCGCAGTAAGTGGTTAACCTTGCTTACTTCAAACCTAGTAGGTTTGTTGCCAGGAACCACTTCACCCTCGGCATTACCAACTACACATTCATCATTGTCAGCACATTGATTCGGTTGATGAACATTAGAACAATATTTATCTGTAACATCCTTCCTATGTTGGCAGTCCTCTTGCTCTAAAGGGAAGATGTACAAGTATCGCCTCCATTTGGCAGAAAAGTTAGGATGGAATTCACGCGAAACCTATAACAATTTAGATCTTAACATCAAGTTTAACCTTTTACAAGACAAAATGATATGAACTAATACAAATTCATAAAGATTTGCTTCATCCTTAACGCTAGAATGAAATGCAAGTTAAATGAAAAATTGAAAATGAAAGATTATAGTACCTTAGTTACAGAAACTACCCTTATCTTCCCTGGTGCTATGCTATTTATAGCATCTGCAATATCTTGAACCTTGACATCCTTTCTCCAAGTATCTAGAAGCATCAGTAAATGAATTCAGTTACTCCAAGTTAACTACACTTTGGCAGAGAAACAAGGAAAAATACCATAAGTACATGCCACACCATTGTGTGCTTAGGATGCCATTTGTATTTATTGATGTTGTTAAAGTATGTGTCTTCACATCTTGGCATGAGTAAAAAATAAATAACACTGACAAAAAGTTGAAATTGTATAGGTATAACTAAAGCACATTCTTTTGTAATATTAAATTTAAGATATTATTAACACAGCAAATAATGAAATTAAAAACAGAAGAAGAATATTTTAGTCAAGACAGATTGAATTTTGCTTTATCTTTTTTATAATTTTTTTCTAAACAGAGTAAATTTGGTTCCACCATCTTCCTAGTCTCAATTAATCCCATATCTCCTTTCTTCTTTTGAAGTTAGTTTAAAGAATTTAATACAAAAAACTAGTAATTAGGCATTTATTTACACCTCCATAAAAGCATTTAAGCATTGGCATTCAAATTCTCACATGTACCTAAATATACATATTTGGCACACCATCAATTGTATCCTAAATCTTTTAATCACCAAACAGTTCAGGAAGACAAACACAGAAAGAAAACATTGACCATTTAAAAGTGTCTAAACCTTAGTCTCTACTTTGGTTCATATATCCTTAAAATATGAAAGAGCAATTCCAATTTAAACTTAAGTGGTAGTTTGCAAAATGTAAGAATCATTGAGGTGGTTGAGACTTGAGAGACACCAATACTGTCGGTTGTAAATTTGTAAAATTGAGGTTGTTGGGAGACACCAAAGCCCAGGTGTATTTTATGAAATTAATATCAGGCTACCAACAGTATAAGATAGTATAAAGTAGTTTTCCTAAGCTGGGGGAGTTTTCAGCTCATTATTGATCATTTGAACCAATTGAAATGGGAAAATGAATATGGACCAAACAAGTGTAGAGCTATTAATTGTTAAAAATAAATAGTGTGTGTGTGTGTGCGCGCGCGTGAGTGTGTGTGTGTGTGCGCGCGCGTGCGTGTGAGTGTGTGTGTTTGTGTGTGTGTGTGCATATACATTGCTGTATATTGCACTAAATATCTTCTGAAAAAATGATGTCCCCTATCGATGTTTGTGCAACTTAGCTTCACATACTAACATACTACATTTGTGAGCAAGGGTGAAGCCACATAAATGTTCTCTATCAAACCATGCAACATGGCAGTGTTGTGACCTTTTGTACTGATTTGCAGTTTTGCATTAATATTGCACTTGTGGAAGTAAAATCATCAGGAAAAAGTTACCCAAGGACATGCAACTAATCATGACTTCAGGTGCTATAGTAGAGGGTATTGGTGGTTCAACTTAATGATTATTAGAATGCTATTTCATAAACCTACAAACTTATAGCAACATTTAAAGTTAAGTCAAGCACACATATTCTTGGTCCTTTGGGTATTATATTTTAAATGTTAAGGACAAAAAGGAAAGAATCAGATTCAAGGTAATTCTAAACACAAGCCAACAAATTTTGAGTGAGAACAAGTTAACAAGGAAAGAGATGATTAAATGAATGGTCAAACAAGAAAAGATGGGCAACATACAGAAAGAACAGACTTGTTGAGAAGCTGAAACACCCTTATCAGTGCGCCCAGCAACTACAGCACAACCTTCTAATGGTAAGTTCTTATCCTTTAGTTGTTGAGCTTTTTTCTCATCAACAAATTGTCCAAGAGCTCTTTCGACCAACCTGGTAAAACAGAGCATCACAAACACAATTAACAAGATAACAAAAACTACCTGCAGAAAGAAATTTACTGATGATCTTCAAATAACATTTTCTTTTATCTTCATTGACTTTTGACTCATTACTGAATATGTATCTAACATAAAAGGTGGGAGAAACAAAAAACAAAAAAAAAAAGGTAATTAACTATGAACATTTGCAGAAGGGTTGAAAATCCATTGTTAGGAAACATAAGCACAACAATACAGTATATTTAGTAATAAAGGATTGCAGTCTAGATACAGCAAGAAAAATTAGCCTTCTAATCCTTTTCAAAAGCAGGCTAACAATTTAGGGCAGAGTTAAACTTTGGATTCCAATTTTAAAATTTAAGACTTAAGAAAAGACATTGACAAGCAGAATAGTTCACCAGTACACCTACTACAAGTACATAATTCGATCACTTTGACCTGAATCACAGCATGCTGCCACATGACAACTTCAAGCCCAAAAGTTTACCAATACACTTTGAACTAATCTATAATTCAATCAATGAGATAGTTATTGTATGCCACCATGTAACAACTTTATTTTTTATTTTATTTAAAAAAAAAAAAAAAAAAAAAAAAAAGGCAACCAACTGTCATGTCACAAATCAACTTCTTCTCAAACACATATACTAAGAAAAATATCCCATAATAATGCAGTGTCAAATGTACTAGGCATTCCTACTAGAACATAGTTAATGGTTTTGGTTCTTTCAGAGACATTCTTCATACCTTCTTTTTGTAAAATATCATATACCACATGATCATAGCATTGAATGTATAAATATGACCAAATTCTGATAGAAAATCTAGTACATAAATATGTTAGACAAGACCAGACAAAGGACTCTAAGAAGCAAAAAGACCACAATAGAAACAAGTAATGAACTTCTGAAAAAAGTAAGCAGTTCATATACCAAATAGAACATGTAATTGGCAGTAAAACTCTTTCACGATTTTGGTAATGGTCATTTTTCTGACAGGATAGAGTGAGTAGAAGCTTACTCCTGAACTGTAGTCAGACCAGGCTGCTTCTGCCAGCCACCAAAGGAGGCCCCATGATATGATAGGACTATCTTAAACGTCACTCTTGCCCATCTCCCTGTCCTATCTTCAACTGGAAAACTACCTAACTCCGATTTCACAAAATCTTCTATAGCTTCGGCATCATCTTGAATAGGATGCGACAGTGGTGGAACCTATTTTGAAATAAACAGACAATATAATAAAATAATAAAAATATGTAACAGAAAAGATCATGAAATATCAAATAGCAAAAAGTAGCACATCTAAAATGACTAGTAATTGTTTAAGTGTTTTACCTAATAACATACAAAAGAAGCTACATTTCAGATATTCCTTTTCACTAAGCTCTTCTACTAAAAAATTCCACTTCTTACGTTGAAATTTAAAACAAATGCAAAATGCTTGACCAAGTCAGCTAGTTTAAAGCTACCAAAATTTTAAAAATTACCAAACTTGCAACAGAAATGTTTTAAAATAGAATTTATCTTTCAAGCTGAACATATTCATATAAGGGATAGTTAAAAAAACTAAGACTTTGTTTTTTTTCTTAAACGCGCACCTCTTTTTGAAACAATCCTGCCAAATTTGACTGGCCTTTCACCATTTCTGTATAAAAATCAACAATTTTTTGCCATGGCCTAGCAGACATGAACTGGTAACATTCCCTGCCAACATCAATAACATTTGAATAGAAATTCCTAGTGATTGTTTCATACAGATTCATTATAAGTATTTTCATGAGGCACTTCAAGAGAATGGTCATTAGATATTAAGAAAATTCAAATATAATCCTTGGCTAACAGCGTTTTGAAATTCAATTCAAACCTGATGAAGATAGATCAAATGTGTACAAATTACAGGAATAAATACTTCGTAATATTTAACCAAATTCAATTAATATTACTACAAAACGTAACAAATATGCACCAAGTGGTCACCCAGCAAGGTGAGAAGGGCTCGTGGTATAATTTGCACCATTATACACAGGATCTCGAGTCCTAAAACCAGTTGAATCAGTGGCTAAACTGACTCAATTCACAGAATCCGAAGACGACCCACCGCTGGGCTAATTGAATCACAAATTCCAATTAAACAAATTGACGAAACTGGAAAGATTGCAAATCGACTCAGTGAGTCTTCCGGGCAACTCTCTCCCATGTCCTTTGCAGCCGATTCCAATTCCAAAGTTCAAAAAGTAAAATATAATTTAAAGAAAAAAGTGTCCAAAGAAAATCCAGAGAGACGGAGAGAAGAGGGAATGGAGGCGATAAATTTACTTGGAAGTCCATCTGGAGAATTTGCAGGAATCAGTGTGGTTGTAGTGATAAACCTTCTTAGGAGCCGCTTGCTGACTTTCCATAATGTTTTTTATGGTCCGCACCACCGTCGGAGAGTTTATCATGACCACTGCCGCCGTTCGTCTCTGCCCGAAATGGTATTGTCAGCCCTAGAACCGGGCTTATCTCCGGTGTGATAAATTGTGCTGTCGCAGTCACCGGTGTACAACATATTAGTAGAGGCGATAATGTTCTGAGGTAATTTAATTACATTCACCAAATTTTTCACTAAGTATTTTTTTTTTTTTTTTTTTTTTTGACAAGCACTAAGTATTTGATTATTATACTATGATGATGATATTATGATTATTATCATATTTAATCATTATTTTTTAATTTTGTTACTCGCTTTGTCCTATTTTACTTATCAATTCAACTATTTCTTCATTTTTATTTTTTAAAATAATTTTTAATTATTTTTATATTTAATTTTTTTATATTTAATAGTATTTTTAATGTAGTTTCTAAATATATAAATTTTATATACTAATATTGAATTTAATATTATGTAAAATTGAATTAAAAATAACATCAGTCAAGCCTTGTTAATCAAACCAGACAAACAAAATTGAACGGAAAGAATATACTACTAGCATTATATAGGAGAAGTTCATTATAGATTTATAGTTAACATTAAAAATCATTGTTTAATTTGTATTTTTCTAAAAACAGTTATGTAAATACTTATTGTAGTATGCATGATATTAGGTGGTAAATACTACTTTTGGTTGGAGATTATTCTAAATTTTGTTAATTCGTTTTTGGATATGTTTGTCATTATAATAAAGTTCAAATGCAGCGGAGTCTTCCCGTGCGGCGGTGCGGCGGAATTCTAGAATACACCAACAGTGTTAACAATATGCACTAACAGTGTAAGAAAAACACACTACAATGAAATGCAATAAAACATCACAAAATACACAACAGACTCAAAAAATACACCATATAACTCACCACCCTCAATGGTGTATTTTTGAATAGTGTATGGTGTTTTTACTCACACCTAATGGTGTGTGTTTGGTGATGCGGGGCTATGTTTACTCTGTTTTTGTGGTGTATTTTCCTAACGTTGATGGTGCATATTTGTTGAACTATTGGTGATGCCGCACCGTAAGAGATCGTCGCACCGTAAGACACCGCCGCACCTGAACCTGCCTATATATATATATATATATATATATATATATATATATATATATATATATATATATATATATATATATATATATATATATATATATATATATATAGGATCATATGAGAACACTTGCTTAGGTGAGAACGTGAGAACAAATCATGTGCATTCATATAATAGTTTTTAATGGTTTAGATTAGATTAAGTGTGTACGGACGCGATTACACACATTTAATTCGCATCCGTACACACTTAATCTAATCTAGACCATTAAAAAATATTATATGGATGCACACGATTTGTTATTACGTTCTCACCTAAGTAAGTGTTCTCATTGGAACCCTACTCTCTCTCTCTCTCTCTCTCTCTCTCTCTCTCTCTCTCTCTCTCTATATATATATATATATATATATATATATATATATATATATATATATATATATATATATATATATATATGGATGAGATCTGGTGTGAGAATTTGCTCACGTTCATATATGCGGTTTAATCTGAGCCGTTGATCAAATCTAGATCAACGGCTCAAATCAATGAATTTTTTTTTAAAGAAAAACGCGTGTCAGGAATGAAGAAGCGTGTGCTGAAAATAACGCACCTTAAGCGTAGAACGTATGCACCTTAAGTTTATAACGGACGCACTTTAAATGTTAAAATAACGCACTTAAGTGTTGAAATGACTCACCTTAAGCTATGGAAAGACACACCTAAAGGTTTAAAACGACGCACCTTAAGTTTCAACAAAAAACGCACCTTAAGTTCTCAAACTGAAAAAGTGGCGTACCTTAAGCATAGAAACCACGAATCTTAAGAAGGAACACGACGCACCTTAAGCACAAAACTTACGCACCTAAAGCACAAAACTTTTACATGCCTAAAGCACAAAACTTACGCACCTTAAGTTCTCAACTACATAAGTGACACACCTTAAGCACAAAACCAGCGCACCTTAAGAAGGAAGACGACTCACCTTAAGCACAAAACCTACGCACCTTAAATTTGACCCATATGAAAAATGGCCAAATTGCCACTGCTTTTTTTTTTTAATCATTGTTAATCCTGGACGTTGATTTAGGCAAGATCAATGGCTCTCATCTCACCGCACATGGGCGCACCATCCACATTTGAACCTGTGAGCATATAGCCATTAATGTGCAGTCCACTATCAGCTTAGGCTTTTAGTTGAGATGGAGCACATGCTTCAATTTGGTATCAGAGCCAGACTAAAGGTCATGGGTTTGAATCTCAGCGCCACTCGTAAGCGACTACGGTTTACCGGTCCACGTGTCGCTTGGAACTCACCGCACACGTGAGGGGGCGTGTGAGCATATAGCCATTAATGTGCAGTCCAACTATCAGCTTAGGCTTTTAGTTGAGATGGAGCACATGCTTCAATTGAACCATACTTCAATGTATAGTAAGAGTCAGTAGCATTATATATATAAGTTTTTTCCTGCATATTCTAGGAAAACACTTCTACTTTGGAATTTGAAATTGCTTTCTTTTTGGATGGTTAATACCATCTGAGGTCCTCCGAGTATAGTGGTTTTGCCACGTTTAGTTCTAAATTTTCAAATTGACCATTCGTGTTCCTTTGACTTTCAAATTTAACCATTCGTGGTCCAAGTTAACCACCTAGGGTCCTTCAACTATTAAATTTTAACCAACCATGGTCTTTTCAAGAGGACCACGACTGGTTAAATTTTGAAACTTGAAGGACCATAGGTGGTTAACTTGGACCACGAATGGTTAAATTTGAAAGTCAAAGGACCACAGATGGTCAATTTGAAAATTTAGAACTAAACGTGACAAAACCATATACTCGGAGGACCTCAGATGGTATTAACTCGATGGATTAAATAGTAATATATATTATATTGAGGATCATATGAGAACTAATGATTAATCTGGGTCTTTGATATTAGTTTGTATATGGTTAGGATTTTTTAGATTTGTTGAATTATTTACTTACATATATTTATAGAGGGGTGAATGAGTAATTTTGTGTGCATTCAGAATTCTGAAATTATTATTATTTGTGAATGTTATACATGAGTTTAATTATAATGTATATTTTTAATAGGATTGTGTACTTCCAATTTCATTCATACTCCATCAGTATGCATTTTAATATAGATTCCTTTGCATATGTAAATTTGTGCATATGGAGGCTAAGGCATGCCATGTATGCACTATATGTAGTGTTATGTGCATTCCAAGATTGTGTGTGCACTTTCATTTCTGTGTGCACATTTAATTCAAGTATGTTGGTTGTAGTGTGCACTGAATCGGGCATCGTGTGCATTGCTTGTTTGTTAGTGTATATGTCGTTATTTATGTCAAGTCGTTATATGTTGTTCTTGTCTTTGGGTTCTTATGTGCACACATATGTTATTGTGTGTACACTTAGGTATTGTGCGAGGTTTTTTTTAAAAAAAGGTATTGTGGTTTTAAATGTTTATACTCGTGTTGATTTTGTTTGCGCTCAAATTGTAAACTCGTTCATTAATGCACACAAATTTGTATATACACTACTAGAAAATGTCTTAGTTGCAATAATAGACAATTCCGTTGCAAAGTACCCAAATTTTGTTGCAGCAAATCACATTTTGCATCGGAATTTAATTTGCAATGGAATGCATTCCGTTGGTAAAACGCTCGTTACAATTAAATTGCAACAGAATTTTAGTTATGTTACAAACTTTACAATGAACTTTTTTGTTGCAAATTTTGCTAAGGTGCAACGGGTTATACATATTAAATTGAAGGGCGCTGGTAGCAATCTAGTGGGGGATGAAGATGTGACACATATATTGCTAAGATGAAAGCTAGGCTAATGAAGACCACACACTTGTCAGTGAATGAAGGAAGGTCGAGACATTATATAAGAGGTCTCAAGTCTCTCCTTTAAACATCATTCCTAGGTTCACTATATCCTAAATAACTTAGTGGTGTCTTGCCCTAACTTTCTACACAAAGACTATGGTTTGATTCATAGCAACTACAATATTATTTCTATACCCATTACTTGGACTATAGCCTTTATTATTTATTTATTCTTTAGGTCGTTATTATCTCGGACTTTGTGCATATTCTTTTGGACTTAGTGTCCCAGATAATAAAATTACTATTTTCCTACCCCGTTTTGCATATCCTTCCGGATTTATGATGGACTCGGATCCCGTAAAACTATCAGGCCTCAGGTGGAAGTAGAAAATTGTATTTTATTTCTCTATTTGGTTCATTTTCTAAAACAGGAATGAAAATCTATTGTAAAGTTATTTCTTATAAAATATTAATTATTTTAATAATAATAATAAATTACTATTTATATTAAAATAAAGTTATGAAAATTTTTATACTAGTTATAAAAGCGAACAATAACTATAATAAAAAGATATAAATAAATAATTTTTAACTTGATTGTATCTTAAAAGAAAAATAAATATATAAATTGATAAGTATAATAATTAATAATTCTGATGTAAATAAATTTAAGGGAAAATTACTTTTAAAAAATTACTCTAAACTTTGACTTATATTTAATCAAACAATGATAAAATATAATAACTTTGAACTAAAGAAATTGAAGAAAAAATATTACTTTTAAATTCTTTGGGTTGTAGACCAGTGAAAGATTTTTATTGTTTAGTTCGGATCAACTCAATTTATAGTTTAATTGTGCATTGATAAATGTAATAACTCTTAACTAAAAGAAAAAATTATTTTAATTTTGAAAGTTGTGGACTAAGCCAAACCCACATTTAAAGTTGTAAAAAAAATATCAAAATTTCTTATACGTCTATTCATCATTCTAGACTTATTTTAAACCGACACCATCATATGTGTTCCATGCTACTGACATTAGCAAAATATAACGTCTACACAATCCCAGCAAAAGTCAAATTTTACATTATTTTATCTATTTACATTATATGGATAAGGCATCCAAAGCACAAACATTATAGTTATTACACATTGCACACACATTTTAGACATTTAATGGGTACTAAATAAATACATAATTATGTTTTTGGTGGCAGTAATACTTGATTTAGATATTCTCCAAGGGCCCATATGGGAAAAGTGTTTCTGTAGGTAGAGTAGCCTATCATGCAGTTCTTGTTAAATACTCCCATAATACCCTGTCATATACAAGCTCTATCATAATATACACATCATACTCAACTCCAAGAAATATCAAGAATTATAAGATAGATGCAAAATAAAAAATAAAAAAAAATAAAATATCACCTGTTGTGGAAAATCTCCATTTTCCATCTGGGAATTGATTAACACTTTAGCTGCTTGGTGGAGTGGGGTGGGATCTCTCTTGGCCTTACATCAATAAACAAAAGTGGTAAAAAAAAAAAAAAAAAAAAGTGCAGTGTATACTAACCATAATTGATTTTTTATGCATTAATTAATCTCATACATAAATTTTGTGTCAATTATTTTGATTTTTTTGTTCCACAATTATTTCATTTTGTAGCATGTGATCTCTAAGTATTATTTTTACCACATTTAATGCACAATTTTATTTTTTACTTTTGCCACATTTAATCCTTCAATTTTGACCAAACTTCTGGTAGAAAATAGTTAGAATTCATTATATTTCCATTTCAGCCAATTTGAAAACCTTGACACTTTTGGAGAGAAACATTATGATTGCAAATGGTAAATATGATGCATTTTAATTATTTTTAGGAAAATCACACCTTTTCTTCTTAAATTATAATAAGGGATAAGAATTAAATAAGTCCTCAAACTATACTGATTTGTGTCATTAGACCCTTCAACTTCAAAAAGTTCCAATTATAGAACCTCAAACTTAAAAAAAAGTGCAATTAGCAATATTTGCAGGTTGCCTTTAAGTTAAAGGTCAACTACTTGATGATTAGATTTTTCAAGCTGATGTGGCTTCCACATATTTTTTAAAAATAATATATTATATTAAATTTAATTTTAAAATAATAATAATAATAATCATAAATTAAAAATTAAAAAAATCTTTTAAATTTAATTCGTCGTTTGCCATCCTTGTCGATTGACCACCGCCCACATACCAGGAAGAAGGCCGCAACCTTCTTCCAGACTGGAAGAAGACAATATACTTTGAGGGCTTATTTGACCTTTATCCCTTATAATAATATAGTCTATTTCTCTCCTCAATTATGGGTGCATCCACTTTTACACCTTAGTTATCCTCAAAGTAAATGGTTTTACCTAAATCCATTATCTATTTACGTTGGTATCCAAAACTCTAAAAAATGATAGTTTTTTTTTTTTAAATAAAAATATTAGCTAAATCATTCAATGTCATTGTTCATATTTAACCCAAACATACAAAATAAATAAGATAAGCTTTCTTAATTTTCGCTTTCAAATCCTAATTTGTATGCTAAAGTTAAAAGAATAATGATATTATGAGATTTAACTGATCTGATATTCTTAAAAAGAAAAACATACAAACAAACTCTCATTTTTAAAGATTTTGGATGTCTACTGTAATAGTTAGAGTTTAAGTAAAAATAGCCACTTAGGGGTAATTGATGGAGAAAAGTGCCATTTGTAGCGGTTTAGTTACAATTAAAGAACCAAATGCAACAAACAATATACCAAATGTGGAAAAAAAAATCTTGGAATGAATGTAAAAATGACCTAATAGTTGTGGGACAAAATATGAAAATAATTTATTTTGTGCTCAATATATTTTTACAACAAAATTTTGTAATAACTAAAAGATATTATGTCTACTATACTATTATAAATAGAAAGTAACATTCACATATTTGTAAATAAAACATTAGTGATTATTTATAAAAATCTTATCTCCCACTTTTATTTACAAAATTACCTGACCAGCTTCAATAAGAGCCAGCATAGCCCATGCAGTGTTCACAATGTGCCATTTGTTGCCTTCAATATTTGTATATACCTATTCTCCAATAGCATATTTATGTAAAATAATTAAGAAGAAATAAATAAGACTCTTGTAAAAACTTATAAAAATAATAAAGGAAAAAAAGAGATGTATTAACAATACAAAAGAAAAAAAAATCAGAATATAAAATTAGTAAGTTTTAGAGAGATCAAAATACTCGTGTAAAATTGCTTCAAAGGGTGCTGAAAAGTGAAACCCCTATTAAAGGTACCTTAACTCTACTAATTAAATCAATGGTTATTTAGGTGAAATTGTTAATTATTGTAATGTGTTTGTTGACTGATTAATATTATAATTGAATTGTATTATACTTATATATATGCTTAGAACATCACCAATAGGCCAGTTTTTTTGTTTTGTTTTGCCACATACGAAGGAGAGGGTGAGAGAAAAAGAGGGAAATAAAGGTATTAAAAAAGAGTATTAGGCTGTGTTTGAAAATCCGGAAAATGATTTCCAGAAATCATTTTTCGGGTTTCCCATGTTTGGCAAGGCTTGGAAAATCCAGTCAATGAAAAATATTTTTCGTTGACTGGGGTAAACCAAGCCAATTTGACGGAAGTCATTTTCAGCCAAATGACCAATAATGTTTCCGACGGAAATCAGTGTTCTGATTTCCGGCGGAAACCAGACCTCTCTGGTTCCCCTTGCTGGAAGAAACCAGAGAGAACTTCTCTCTGGTTTCTTCCGTCATTTTTTTTCTTTTAATTTTTTAACTTTTTAATAATTACTATTATTTGATTTTAAAATAATAATTATTATAAATATTTTTAATTTTAAACAAAATAATTAATTATATAAAATGTTTAATTATACAATTCTACCTCATTTTCCAGAAAATGAACCAAACACACAAAGAAAGTTTTCTGCTGTGCTCCCACACGAGAAAGGAAAATGTTTTCTAAAAAATGACTCATTTTCCAGAAGTCATTTTTCTGCTTTCCAAGCATCTCCTTAATATAATGCGCCCAGAGGACTGGCAAGCCTGGTGCGCAAAACGTGTTCCAACTTCCAAGAAAAGTTATGTTTTAATTTTTTTTTTTTCAATTGTGGGGCTCACAAAAAATTTGCAGGAGAAAAAACTTGTATACATGCAATCTTTTTTCTTTTGTTTTTTCTTTTCATATTCTCTCCCCTCCAACTTAGACTTCTCCTCTTCCAAATGTGTAAAAACTCTACAAAAACTCTGATGAGATTGCTATCTCGTAAAGAAATAACTATAGTGAGAAAACTTTTTAAGTATCCATTAATGTGTGTCCTAAAAATGAAATGGAAAAAAATAATTTCTATTAAATTGTTCTTCCTATTTCTTTTGACTGTGATGGAACTGAAATGGAAGGCACCAAACCCTTTTTAATCATAAAATAGTAATATAAATAAATATTTAAAGGGAAAAAAAGAAAAGAAAAAAAGAGAAGACATTACCTTGTCCTGGCATGAAAGATAGCTTTCTCCCCAGCCACCAGAAGGGAGTTGCTTAGAAAGTAGAAAATCACAAGCTTTCCTAATGCCATGGCAACTCTCATATGTATTGCCCCCACCAACCAAACCTCTTATGCCAAACCATGTCCCATAAGTGTAGCACACTCCCCAAGATCCATACCTTCCATTAAAATAAGCTAGTTATTACAAATTTCACTTTTATTTTTATGGAAAAGTGAGTTATAATAATAATAGTAATAATAATAATAATAATAATAATAATAATAATAATAATAATAAAGAGTAATATTGTAATTCATCATTTATCTTCTTTTTTTTTTTAAATTGCTTTCCGTCCACCCCGAGTAGGAATTCATTTCGGAAGGCCGGGAGCCCTATGAATTTGAATTCCATGAATGAAGGGAATTGTAATTCCGTGAAATTGCTAGTCACTCTAATCAAATAATGTAATTGTGCTCTGTTAAGAATTAGGCTGTACAACTACAGCCTACCAAACGACCTGTTAATCCTTTTATAAGTATATAACTTATCATTATTTATCTAGAATTTCAAAATATTATTAGATATATATTTGTATACAATATAATTACAAACCAGGAGCCATCAGGGAGTTGGATGGTTTGTATGAAAGTAAGAGCCTTGTTAATGCATGCTTCTATTTCTTTCCTTCGGTAGCCAGGATGCAATTTTCTGAAATATTTTAGACCAATGATTGCTGCAGAGGTGCACTCCACATACCTGCATATATATATGTTGTCAATGTGTATATATAACTAAGAAATCACAACATGCATATTGTGTAATATAATTAATTAAATATTATTTAATTAATACTATATATATATGGTGAATGATTTGATCTTACTGGTAATCAATGATGATTTCTCCAAAAGTTTCCGATGGATTAAGCATCTGCAATTAGGAGGAACATGCATGCATTAGCTAATTAATTAAGAAATACGTACTACGTAGTTAACTTAATTGATAAAAGAGTTTTTTCTCAAAATGGTCCCTCGACTATTGCTCATTCTCGATTTTGCATTCTGACTTTCAATTGAACCAAATCTGGTCCCCCGACTTTTAAAAACTCACCCAATTTGGTCCTCCGTTAAGTTTTTCGTGAACTCAGTGTTAAAGTGGAGGGTATTTTCGTCATTTTACCTATTGTACACCTAATATACACTAAGAAATAGTCGATGGACCATTTTGGGAAAAACTCATTTTTTTTTATAAATATTTCATTGTGTGTATTTTCATTTTGATAGAGTCTAAAAATTGAAAATATACACAATGAAATTAAAAAAAAAAAAAAACGAGTTTTTCTCAAAATGGTCCCTCGACTATTTCTCAGTGTATATTAGGTGTATAATAGGTAAAATGACGAAAATACCCTCCATTTTAACATTGAGTTGATGGAAAACTTAACGAAAGACCAAATTGGGTGTGTTTTTAAAAGTCAAGGGACAAGATTTTGTGCAATTGAAAGTCAAAATGCAAAATTGAGAATGAGCAATAGTCGAGGGACCATTTTGGGAAAAAACTCATGATAAAATTAAATGCATGTCTTATTTACTTCTAGCCATGGATAAGATCTCGTGAGCTCATATGTTGCAAAACCTCCACTGTTATTCTGCATGATAAAAAATAAAAAATAAAAACATATATATAATGAGGTATATATTAATCAATCCGTTAATTATTTTAGATCAAGAATTAATTAAACTAACTCAATTAATGTATTATGTATACCTGTAGGGAGAGAAGAAAATCGACAGCATCATATAACCTACTAGGTTCTATTGCTTCTCCAACAATATCATCTGCCATTCTTGACAACATTAATGCTGCCTGAACTCAATCCAAGTTAATCACTCTCAATAAATCATTCATATACATTATATATATTTAAGATGAAAGGCATGTAATACTGAATGTAAAAAAGGAAAATGTTATTTACCCCTCATAAAATGTTCCTAATATATTTCCCCTATATATGATGTGGTTTATATTTATCCAAGTTAATCACTCTTCCTTTATTATTATTATTATTGTTGTTGTTATTATATAATAATAATAATAATAATTATTATTATTATTTTCTAAGTTTTTAGGGGAATTTATTAGAAACTGACATTTAGAGCCTCTGCAGTGCAATCGGAAATAGACCAGCCATCGTCTGGTGTGGAGAGGGGCCATCCACCTTTACTACTATGCCTATACCAGGAGCTCATGTTGATACCCCTATCTTCCTTAATCTACAAAACAAAATTTAATAGCCATTACGTTTAGTGAGTCCTATAAATTATTTATTAAAAAAATTAAAGAAAACATTTGTTACTCAAGATCAGACTGTATTTACAGAGGATAGTTAAAATTAGGTATCTTTTGGTGGTCGGACGAATTACAAAATTTAATTAATTAACTTCATTTTTAATCCATTTACTATGAGAGAAAATTTACTTTTTATTATGCGGATAAAAAAAAATGATATCCAGCTAGAGATAGTGATTGTGCAAATAAAATCAGAGAAAAAAATTTCAAATAAGCCCCCAAATAATATCTGTACGTAGTTGAGCCCTTTAATTAATTAAAAAAATCCCATCAAGATCCTTTAAATCGATATATATATATATATATATATATATATATATATATATATATATATAATTGAGTCCTAATTTGACTCATTCAACCGGTTATTGTTAATTTGATGTTGACTAGACTTTCATGTGTGCTAATTTTTCAATTGGGAGGTGACTTGATATTTGATGCATGTGACATTGACTTAACATAAATTATACAATTTTTAATTTAAAAAAAAAAGTAAAATAAAAATTAAAATTAATTATTATTTATATCAAGTCACTGCTACATCTTGTGCCAAGTCATTACCGCATTGAAAAATAACACACTTGAATGCCTACTTAGTGCTAAATCAATTGGTAACCTTTTGAATAGGTCAAATTTTAACTTAATTGCATTTTTAGCCAGTTCAAGGGGTCGGGTGTCAATGAAATTTTATTAGTTATGGGCTCAATTGCATTATTATTTGGTTAACTTAAAGGGTTTGTTTGATATTTATTCAAAAATATATATAACACTACTACTTTTTCCGTTGAATGATATGTTTATAGTACTTTTTCCCTTGAATTATTTATTTATGTTTTTACATTATCCACAATTATTTTGAATGTGGCAAAATTTCCCTTCTTCATTAAAATGGCGTTTGAATAGTTAAAAGGAAAAAAAAAAAAAAAAAAAAAAAAAAAAAAAAAAAAAAAAAAGAGGAAGGTATTTTAACCAACATAATCCTTCAAAAAAATATTATAATGAAAGGATAGAAGTGAAAGTTGTGGAGCAAATTAAAAGAAAAAAGAAAAAATGAAACCTGTGAGACATTGATGAAGAAGTGTGCTTTTCTAAGCATTGAGCCATATTCATCACAAAGATTGGTTGCTATAATTGCTTGAACGGCGAAACCAACATCCCACAATTGCGATCCATTATATCCCTGTTTTAATATCATTGTTTTTTTTTTTTTCCCAATAACAATAAATACACTAATTCAGTAATTCGTCAGTGACATTATGGTCGAGTGGCACAAAGTTACTTTCTCATATGAGAGATTGTGGATTCAAGGGAGGCAGTATTGACTCTGCATCAACACTGATGTTAATAATATCCAATAAAATGTGCTATAATTAAATAACAATATCTCTTAAAATTGCGGAGAAAAGTTTAGAGGTATAGTGATCATTGAATATGTACAATTTGCTAAAGTAAAAATGACAATTTTGAGTCATGGAGTCATTTTAAAAATATGATGATGGGGGAGGACCAAAGATTATTGATCTAAACTTCAATAGGCGAAGATAATTTTTTTTTTTTTTTACTTTTATATATATATATATATATATATATATATATATATATATATATATTTAAAATTGTGCATTCTATGTGCATATGATGAAAAAATTGTTATTTAAATTATCTTAGATTCAAATTTGATCCCATACTTTAATAAGGAGTATGAAAATTAATTAATCACGGCTTAAATAAAAATTGAATTTATTTAGAAACACACATGCATATAATTATTACCGTCATTTTCATGCCATCTTCAGCTAGCCAGAGATAATCCTTAATTCTTGAGAGGTGATGTTTGACTGCAAATGAGTCTGGCTCCTCTATCCAACGACAAAGCATGTTTAAGACCTGCATTTTTATTTTTTTACATAGTAAACCACTGTTAGCTGATTGGGTCAGTAGATTTAATTAGTTCATAGTATTAATTGATTGTAGAAAAGTGTTTGGTATGTAAATTAGTTGTTAGCTGTTAGCTGATTACATACAAAATGACTTCTCAAATACAAAATGACTTCTCAAAAATCTTATCGAAAAAGTTACTTTGAAGTAGCTTTTTGAATTTTAGCATTTTGAAGCAATACGTTGTCACAAAAAGCTAATCAATCAAACACTCATACCAAGTCAAATAGCTAATTAATAGTGGTCAAATAAGCCAAAATTGACTGATAGGCTAACTATTTTACCAAACAAGGCCAATTGTCATTTTTTTTTTAAAATAACACAGTGTCATTTTAATTGGTAATTGAAGTCCTAAAGAAATTGTAAGGTGGACCTTGGTCCATGGTATAACGACTTATATATATATATATATATATAATGGATTACCTTGTTGACAGGCCCAATGCAAACATAGTTAGAGATCTCATCTTCATGCTGAATGTGGTCCATTGCAAGGGTGAGTGCCTTTTTCCTTAGATAATTGAATGGCCATTTATTTAGAAGAGGCTCGACTATGTTGTGCAGACCATCCCACACAATGTCTTGTATTGCTGGATGAGGATAGTATAAATCTTCCTGCAAAACGTTGCAGATATATATGTCATTTGTAACTCTCAATTGCTTTATGTGGTGTTAGTAGTCACCATGGTTGAACAAATCGCTAGGCGTTTCTTGAGCGCCGGTGGCACCTAGGCGCCCGCGTATTTTTTTTTTTTTTTTAAAAAAATTTGTATAAATTTTTTAAGACTTGATAATTATAAACTATTTAATAGTTAATACTAAAATATTAAATGTTAACCTAAAAAACATCTAGAGTTTGAACAATTTAGAGTTATTTTGCTCAAAACGATGTCGATTTGAGTGAAATAACCCATTTTAAACGAAGAGAAGAATAGCTAATTGGCCAACTAGGCGGCGCTTAGGAGGCCGCCTATACCACCGATTATGGTGATACGCTAGGCGGCCAGCCGGTGCCTAGGCATGATTTTTGCAACGTAACACACTAACACGGGTAGTCACAAAGAAAGAATAGTTTATGATGGCCTGATAGGTAAAAAATGATTCATATATTTTCCGTAATAATAATAGTTATTCTACCTAACACAATGTATTGTGATTAGTTGACAATTAAATCATAAAATCATATCACTTAATTACACAATGCGCTCCATCAGGATTTTTATTACTCGTCTATATATGTCATATTACTTGTAGTTGGTGGCATCAATTCTTGTACATTTTTATATTCATTTATTTGGTAGAGGAGTGAAATTGAGCTAGAGTGCTAGCAATAAGATTGAAGCGGCTAGATTGTACTAATGGAATGATTTTATCTAGATCCTTACTCATCCAATCAATCAGAATTTCTACACTTGGAGCAATAAACTACTCTAATAATTACATTTCTCTCACATTTAAAATTTCTATGATTGGAGTAGTGAATCATTCCAATCACCCTACTCTTACTAGACCCTTACTTCTCTGAATATAATTTTTTCAAATGAAGCAATAAACTACTATAGTTATTCTTTGTAAGTCCATTTAGATGAATTGCTGTTCGAGCAATTGGTCATTTCAATTGTAGAAATTTCTAACTAGAAAAATCAAAATTTAGTGAGAACAATCTACTTGATGTGATTTTAATTTCACCTTATAGTTGCGGTATACATCTAGGAATACTATAAAGTGAAATGTAATTCATTTGTTATCGTTTGTGTAAAAATATAATTGTTATTTAATAAATGATTTTTGGTATAAAAAAATTTTAAAATAAAAATATAAGAAAAAGCATCAAATCCAACACCATCATATCAAAGATGAAATTCAAGTAAGTTTAATTATGCTATAAAAAAATTAATGATTTAAACAATATAATAAAACAAACCTTAGCACATTGGTTTCTTGCCAAGTTCCAATCAATTTGGTGGTAATCATGATTGTAAAGCTCCCTCCTCAGTGATAAAATGGTGGAATTAATTGGGCCCACATATCTTTTCCCATATAAATATGACATTGGCAAATATACCATCCGAGCGTGACACCACATGCGACCTGCATCTTCTGTTCTTTAGTATATATATATGCATGGATTACATATTAATTTTTCTTTTTGGATGCTACTGACGCTGGTAGTATCTGTTCAAATATATATATTTCTACATCTTATGTTCTTTAGTATATATATGCATGAATTACATATTAATTTTTCTTTTTGAATGCTACTGACTCTATTGTTGGAGACCGTTGATAAGAAAAACAAATAATAATAAAAGAATAAGATTATTATTTTTCTGGAAAATAGGGAAGGAAAGATGGAGAATTTTGGCTCGTGTTTGAGGTTGGGTTTTTTGCAAGAGTCAAGCGATCACTCTTTCCTTAAAACCTTATTTGCCACCTCCCAAAAAGTGCTAGGAGCTTCGTGGCCTAGGCTTCCCAAGATAAAACTTGCTTGTGATTCAATGGTTGAGCACCCAACCAAGGAATCCGACGAACAAGGCAAGGTTTTAAACACAGTATGCTTAGAAAGAGAAGGAGTAGAAGCAGAATTTTGAAGCTTGAAAAACTCAAAGTTTCGTGTAGAGTGCTTGTTCTCTTGTGTGTAAAAATCTGCTTCTTACTACCTCTCTTATATAGGGATGGAGGAGCTAATAGCACTTATTATGGCAATTAAAACTGACATTAAAGCCGACTTCCAACAGCTATAACAGCAGGCCACTACCTGGGAATTGAATTCTGAATTCAAATTGGAGTTAATAGAAAATTAATTCCGTAACAAATGAATTCAATCCCCATAACAGTCACAACTTTCGGGTTCCAGACCGTTGGCGTACAGGGTTCGGTCTCAACTTTCGACCTCACCCAGTTTCGGCCTGTCCAGGACATTTCGGCCACAAGGCCGAAGGTACTGCACATGTTTCGGCCATATGGCCGAAACTTGCTGCTGCTGTTCAGTTTCGGCTCCTTGAGCCGAAACTACAAGTGACTTGGGAGCCGAAACTACAAGTGATATTACTTGGGAGCCGAAACTACAATTGACTTGTTGGAAAATGATACCGAAGTTTGGCATAACTTAGCCATACCAATTTCCGGACGACATTCGTGCCCATAGGTGCTGGCGCACACGAGCTTGAATCAAGCCTTTTGCAAAGGCGTCTAGTTGGATTTTGATTTGCACCCCCCCTCCCTCCCTCCTCTCGCGCGAGAGAGCCTCTATGCTATACAATTCTACAAGCTTCAAAAGAACTCTTGTATATAAGGGGGGCAAATCCTCTTTCCAATAGGGGGGCAAATCCTCTTTCCAAACCAATGTGGGACAAAAGCTCACGTACAATATATCAATCTCTTCGTCTCACTACGAAGAATCCGAATCCACTTTCACCCGACCCAAATCGGAAGTGGACCCCACTGATAATCGTACCACAAAATAGCCAATTAACATGCCATTTTTTCCAACATCTATATCATTGTAGTAGAGTTCAAATATACTTTCTCAACCTAATAAAGGTCAAAGAGTCAACAACGCCTCCACTAAGGCTCGATCTAATGATCTCTCACATAAAAAAGGTAACTACATGCTATCTGAGCTCAAGGTGCTTGGCGGATTACATATTAATTATTAGAGTAATAATGTGAAAATAGATGAATATTAGGTGAGAAGTATTACATTTTCTTTTAGAAGTGTAACATTACTTATAAGGAAAAATATAATATTTTTGATGAAAAGTAATATTTTTACATCAAAATATAAAAGTATTACATTTTTCCTTATAAGTAACAAACATTTTATTCATGATTTAGTATTACATTTGCATAATGGCGTAACCCGACCCGACCCGTCTCATCACCGATAAGGATATGTGAAACGGTTTCACACAAGTGTGACCCATCACAAATATATTATATAAACTTGTAAATGTCAAATTCAGTAGATATATTTAATTAATATTTTGTGAATTTTGATTCCAAATTTATAGTTTTGCTCTAGCCTGAGATAAAAGGGGAAAATGAAAAAGAAAAAGTTAAGAGAGTGTATATAGAACCTGGATGTATGGGAACAATGTATGGAAGAAGCCATAGTTCTGGTGGAAGAGGATTGTTGCCTCCCCATTCATATACACCAAGTACCTAACAATTGCATTGTTGCTCATTATATATTTAATAAATAAAGAATATATATTCTTTTTTTTTTAGAGAAGAAGAATATATATTCTTTAATTCTCCATAACATATAAAAATAACTATTTAATAGTAAATGATAAAATAATACAATTATATTAACTTATTTAATTACTTGGTTTACAATTAGTGCATAAAATTTATATATTTAAAAACTACATTAAAATATTATCAAATACAAACAGTTAGTTTTAAAAACTAAAAAATGTTTTAATTATTGGTATAAAAATTACTCCGTATTATTTTTCTATCATTTTTTTTAGAGTTGGATGAGGTTAAATATCGAAAATAAAATCTTATAAGTTGAATATGTTTTTGTAAGGTGAGTTCAAATTAAAAAAAAAAAAATGATAACATATCAATGATAGAGATGAAAGTTAAAGAAGATCATACGTACCGAGAACCATAGTTTTCCCCATGAGGGAATAAAAGTAGCACCACCATGATCAAGTATCCATTTTCTTGCTTCCTTCATGCCACCATTTCCACCATCCATTTCTTCTCCAAGAATTCTCAAACTCACATAATTGAGGGCAGTACATAACATGGTGCTGTGTCCTTCTATATGTAATCCCCATCCTCCATCTACATTCTGCATGCATGTAATTATGAAATTTTACTGAATTAATTATACCCCAAAATCAATATATTTATTTCCTAATTAATTATTCTTAATTTTATCCCAAAAATGTATGCTTTTTTTTTTTTTTATACAAGAAAAATACTGAGATATTAATTAATTTTATTATTTACCTGATGATTATATATGTAGCGGAGGATCTCCTTTTGGTGCTCCTCTTTCAAAATTGCATTTATCATCTCCATCACTGATAAACTTATAACCTACAAATTAAATGTTAAGAATATGATCTTTTTGGTGCTCCGTCCTCTTACTGTATATAAACTATTTTTTTAATTGTGTTTATATATTATATTACGTTTTTATCACTTCAGTATAGTGGCATTTTTTACTTTTTTTTTTTTTTTTTTGATTTGTCCTCTATTTTGATTTATTTCAATTTTATTTTAGTTCTTAACCTTAAAAAAAGGTTATAAAATTACTGATTTATTAAAGAGAGATGAGGAGGAAGCTAATAATACGAGGTGTTAATTACCAAAAAAGGCAAAAGAAATAAAGGACCAGAATAGTCAGCAGGCCAATGGCCATCATGAGCTTGGATGGTAGAGTAAAACCTCAACCCTCTCCTCAACGTTCTCACCACTGCTTCTTCACTTATTTCTTCCTCACTTCCAACTTTCACTTGTTGCAATCCCATTTCATGTCTCTTCTCCTTCTCAAACTATATGTATATGGAAAGAGTCCCAAGAAATTTAAAAAAAAAAAAGAATAATAACATTATATATATATATATATATATATATATATATATATATATATATATATATATATATATATATATATATATATATATATATATATTTATATTTATATTTATATATTTATTTATTTATTTAGATGTTACCTGCATTCTCATTAGGAGATCGGAACTCTGTTTGATCTCGAAACGATTTTTGTGAAATTTTGCACGAAGTTTTTGGACTTGTTCTCGTTCTTCTTGTGTTCCGAGGTTTGGATAGAACTCCCAATACTGACGACCAATGTGATTGTTTACACTTCTAAGCCATGGTTCATCTTTCCCTTCCGACAATTTAAGCTTCCACATTTTCTCTTTTAGTAATTTTCTTGACGTATTATAAAAGTTCTGTACACCAATATTTAATGCATTATGGTACAAAATAATGAAAAGTAAAAAAAAATAAAATTAAAGACACAATATATAATAAGAGGATTCAGTTAATTAGCAAGCAAAGGCATATATATATATATATATATATATATATATATATATATATATATATATATATATATATATATATATATATATATATATATATATATATATATATATATAAGAGTTTAATTCTACCAAAGGTTCCCTATCTTTGGTGACAATTTCAAATTTAGTCTCAAACTATCATTTTTGCCATTTAACATCCCAGACTATTGATTTTTGGACACTTTTAGTCTTTTTCATGACTTTTCCTATTTTTAGTAAGGGCATTTTTGTCTCTTCATATTTTCCTTTTGTTAGTTTTTCGATTCCAACCAGTTTAGTTGGTTTAGAACTTTAGGTAACCTCTGATTTTTAGTAACCATATTTTTTAATCGGTTTTTAATAAAGTCCTACACCAATTAAACCGATCGAAATCGGAAAAATAACAAAAGAAAAATATAAACAGACAAAAATGCCCTTACTAAAAATAGGAAAAGTATTGAAAAGGACTAAAAGTGTCCAAAAAACAATAGTATGTGATGTTAAATGACAAAAACGATAGTGTAGGACTAAATTTGGAATTGTCACCAAAGACAGGAAACCTCCGGTGAATTAACCCAAAAAAAAAAAAAAAAAAAAAAAATCTTCAAACTCCATTTATCGCTATTATTTTACATTAATCATGCTTCAAGCTATAGTTGGTACATGTGGTGCACCAAATACATATTTTGGTAACTAGCTTGGTTGACGTGAGTGGTTGTGCACTCTCATCTCTCATGAGAGGTCGGGAGTTTGAACTTCCTCTCGTATGAAAAAACCCGGTGTAAACTGAGATTAGTCTAATCTGAGTATGGTACGGGCTTAAAGGTGCCTCTTATAATTAAGGTCTGCTCAAAACACATCGTGATTTAAAAATAAAAAAAACAACTTTGACTCTCATTTTGCCATAAGAGTTAATACCATCTGAGGTCCTCCGAGTATAGTGGTTTTGCCACGTTTAGTCCTAAACTTTCAAAGTGATCATCTGTGGTCCTTCGACTTTCAAATTTAACCATTCGTGGTCCAAGTTAACCACCCATGGTCCTTTAACTATTAAATTTTAACCAACCATGGTCCTTTCAAGAGGATCACGGCTGGTTAAATTTCGAAACTTGAAGGACCATAGGTGGTTAACTTGGACTACGAATGGTTAAATTTGAAAGTCGAAGGACCACAGATGGTCAATTTGAAAGTTTAGGACCAAACGTGGCAAAACCACTATACTCGGAGGACCTCAGATGGTATTAACTCGAAATAATACTATTTAATTTATAAATAAAATCTATTACAAATCCATGAAAGTGTTGTCAAATTAGTAAGATTTAAGACTCGTGAACATAATATTGCAGAGTCAACAATTCCTATTAAGAACGGAATGCATATCCTATTCTCTCAGTATAGTTATTTATAATTGTATTGAAGATTTAGGAATTATATATTTAATAATCACTAAATCTCTAATATAAGTAATATAACTATATTGAGAAAACTAGTATTTGTCCCGTGCGATGCACATAAAATATGTTTTAAAAATATACCATATATGAGGTTTATTCATATATAAAATTTTTGTTATTTAATAATTATTATGTATGAATTCCTATGATAAATTATGAACATAAATATATTTATAATTAAAATAATATTTAATGTGTGTGATTACTATAAATCTTAAACTATATTAAAATTTTTTTTATTACAAAGGAAGGGGGATACCCATACAATCTATGCCTACACTGAGGCTCGAAACCTAGACCTCCCACATAGGGGAGCAATTCGATACCAGTGGACCACAAGCCACCGGTAACTATATTAAAAATTTAGTACATAGTATTTAATATTACAAATTTTTAAGAACTTAGTAAACTACAGTAGTAATTGAATTACAATTTTAGAGTCACCACGGATCAAAATTTTTAGACCTTTGAGATTTCTAACTCTAGATGTAGCAACATACAATTGACCTTTAAAGACCAAACAATCACAATCTTAATTCGAACATTGATTTTTTCTTCCAAATACTATTGAATTAAGTGTGTAATCAATAAAAGATGAGAACTAATAATTCGAGAATATAATCTTAATGTTACTAAGGCTACTTCACGTCAATTAAGTTGTAGAGTGTTGTTGGATAGTATCCGATGAATCCACGAATAACGCATCTTTAATTTGTCTCCGTAGTCCTCGATATGCACATCAACAATCTTAAATATTAGGCCGCCTAGCTATGCTATATATTAATTTCAAACTTATGGACTTTGGGGTTGCACGTGTGGTGTGCATGCATGCTTCTTAAAGCCATATGATCTTGTGAAAATTAAATGTTGTTAATATCAACATTTAACCATTAATATCAGCATTTAATTTTAACAAGACCATATGACTTTATTATAATTAAGAAGAAGATAGGATATGCATTCAAGATTGTTCATAATTAATACAAATTCTTGACTTTGCGATATTGGGCTTGTTTGGTAAATGACGAATTCTCTAAATTTTTGACTGATATGTCACTTTTAGCATTTTGACCATGTCAAAACGTCTAAATTTTCGTTTATTATTAACTTTATTATGTAATAAGAAAGTAAAAAATAAATAAATAATTTATTTTTATTTTATTATTAAATAATAATAATAATAATAATAATAATAATAATAATGACGACACATAAATTATTAACTACAGGCGCAAAATATGTTTTGTTATGTGCCTGCAGTTAACATATTTTGTGTCTGTAGTTATCATGTATGTATTTGTTTTACAATGTTATATGCTTTCAATTTGTTTACAGGTACAAAAAGTTAACTGTAGGTACAGAATATGTAACTATAACACTATAAGTACATAATCTAAATGTTATTATTGGACTATAATCCACAATGCAAGGTAGAACTAGGTCCTTGACATAATTTGCCAATTTTCTTGGAATCTAATTGCCAAAAGATGTCCAACGTCTTATTGCAAAAAGGAATGAAAAATTACCTTGTGTTGCTGTATACTATTGTGCAGCCAAGAAATTCTTCCGTTTTATTTCCTGCAAATATTTATTTAAACAACTTCATAGATATTCATATCTATTCATTGGAACATATTTTACGCACTGTTTTTTCTATGTACATGTAGATTTAGCAGCAAATTAAAAAAAAAAAATCGAATATATAGTCATCTATGCAACAATGAAATTAATAAAAAAAAATTAAATAGAAAAGCAAAGTTGATATAATCTCAACTTCATTTTCTCTCTAAACAAGGTGTTTTTTTTTTTTTAAATATGTGTGTGTAGTATATATGTATATATATATATATATATATATATATATATATATATATATATATATATATATATATATATATATATATATATATATAAATGTAATTTTTTTAATTTTTTAATATGAAAAAATTAATATTATTTGTACACTTTACTTTTTTAAAACTTTGAATTAAAAAAAAAACGTGGATTGGCTCGCGGGGCCCGTCAAGTCGTCAACTCGCATGGGGCGGACTTTGGTTGCATGAATCCTAGCTTGCGGGTTTGATGGGCCGACTCGTAAAAGCCCGCAAAAAATAGACCCGAAATTTTTTGCATGTGCATCCCTTGGAAAATGACTTCCCAAAAAAAAAAAGGGAAGTCATTTTCTCCTAAAACATACCTATTTTCCTTTAACTAATGCTTCATTTTCCATTGACCTCATTTTCCCCCCTCTTGCCAAACACTGAAAACTTGAAAAATATTTTTCCGGAAGTCATTTTCCGGGTTTCCAAATGCACCTTAATTTAACAATCTATATGCTTAGACATCGTCCTAAATATATAGGACATATGGACTCCTAACCGGCCTTAGGGTTAAGAAATTTCTATCTTAATAATTAAATTAAGAGAAAAGTGGAAGTGGCATATCCAAACAATAGGAAATGAGAAAAATATTAGATGGATGAAGGGATAGAAACTACGTACTTAGCTGACAGCATGAGCAATTTCCTTGAAGGCTTTTGCCAAAGTTTTGCCTTTATATATACTTCTTAGGAATCTATTTTTATAATAATAAAAAAAAAAAATTAAGGGGCAAGTGCATGCAAAATGCAAACAAGTTGCAATTGTAGTTCTAACTTGGCTTTCATTACAATTAATGAAACATTAATTAATATTATATTGCTTTATATGTGTATATTTAATTAAATGTAATTGATTGGATGCTGGTGTACAATTATTTATTATTTATATTATATTATATTAGTTAGTAAACATCATTGCTTATGTTTCATTTATTGTGAAGAGATAAGCAACTACTGCTTTGTTTTTTTTGTTTTTTTTTTTTGTTTTTTTTTGTTTTTTTGTTTTTTTGTTTTTTTTGAAGGGAACTACTACTGCTTTGTTTGGTTGGAAATTTTGCAGTATACATTTTTAAAAACAAATTAGAAGTGCTGCTTTAATTTGTCATTTTAGTTTCATACTGAAAGTATGTGTTGCTACTTTTTTTTTGTTTTTGTTTTTTTTTTTCTTGAAAATAAATAGTGTCACTGCTGAAAATTATGGAATTTCCGACCACCTGAAAGTGATCTTAAATCAAGTCGAAAGCAAAAGTGGTCGAAAATAGCAACAAAGGTTTTTCCGGATACCAAAAGTGGTCAGAACAAGGCTTTCGACTTGATTTAAGATCACTTTCAGGTGGTCGGAAATTCCATAATTTCCAGTAGTGTGTGTTGCTACCTTTATGCATCTGAGATTTACTGATTTTATCACAAGGAGAAGCTTCAGAGTTCAGAATGCTCATTGCCATTATTCAACATATCCTGCATTCAGCTTTAATTTTGATTGGACTTCTACTCGCTATTTACTAACTACTTTGATGTTGAAGGCAAATTATTGTGTGGAACCCGGTACAAAACAATGTCGTTTTGATGTTAAAATGAAAAAATTATTGTTTCATGCGCGTGTGTTAGAATAATGAATATTCTGGGTGTAAGATAATATATTTAATTTTCTGACTTAGAATAATATAATGTACTTTATATGTGTTAGAATAATGAAATTTTTGGAGTAAGAAAATATATTTTATGAGTTAGAATAATGTACTTTATTTGTTAGAATAATGTATTTTATGAGTTAGAATAATGTATAATGTACTTTATCTGTTAGAATAATGAAATTTCTGGGGTAAGATAATGTATTTTAAGAATTAGAATAATGTATGTTATGTGTTAGAATAACGTATTTTATCAGTTAAAATAATGTACTTTATGTGTTTTTGGACCATGATTCACGATCCATGCAGTAATTATATATTTAATAACCACTAAATCTCCATATAACTATATTGAGAAAATAGGAAATGCATTCAATATTGGGCTTGTTTGGAAAATGACGGATTCTCTAAATTTTTGATTGATCTGTCATTTTTAGCATTTTGAACATGTCAAAACGTCTAAATTTTTGTTTTATTATTAACTTTATTATGTAATAAGAAAATAAAAAATAAAAAATAAAAAATAAAAAAAATAAAAAAAAATTATTTTTATTTTATTATTACATAATAATACTTTTTTAGGTCCACAATCCGCTATTCTTGAACCACTAATATAATCCGCTAACGTGAACCGCTGATTGACAAACAAGTTCATGTACAATATAATTGATACAAACACACTTGTGTATCATATTTTACATATATTGTTAACACTTGTATTAATAGTATGTACTTGGTACAACTCGCAACACCTATGTATTTGTACCATTTATAAACAAGATATACTTTCTAGCACTATAAAGTTTCTCCCTATACACATATGTGGTGCGCGCGAGAGAAACAAATGGGGATAAATTTTCTTCTATTGTTATACAAGGCAAATTATATTATGCACCGCGCGTCTTTTTTTTTAAATGAAAATTAACAGTGTTTGTTTCCGCCGTTTTGCACCCTTTTGCAAAAAAGTAACTCTGTTATTCAGTGTCATTTTGTATACACTGCAGTTTCAGTTGAACAACACTACAGTTTCATTTCGACATAACTATAGTTTCATTCGATATTTATAGACTCAAATATGTGAAAATGTTATTTAATTTTATTTTATATACACTATAGTTTAATTAAAACACAACTACATGATCATTTTGATATAATTACAGCTTCATTGTACAATATACACTCAAATATGTGAAATGTTATTCAGTTTCAGTTTATATACACTGCAGTTTCATTTCACTATAACTATAGTATCATTTTGATATAACTGCAGTGTCGGTTTGGATATACTATAGTGTCAGTTGGTGTTTAATACACCAAACAAGCGGACTCCGTTAACTCTAACGGTGGGCCGTTTCTTTACTTAAAGAAACGACGTCGTTTTTGACCGCGGTGCATGTGCACCGCGGTCCATAATATAACGACTGGTTATACCATGGACCAGGGTTCATATTACATTGTGAACTCTGATCCAAAAATTATGTGTTTGTAGTTAATACATTATTATGTACGTGTAATTAACACCCTGACATGTAAACAAATTAAAGATACATAACATGGTAAAACAAATACATAACATGCTAACTACAGACACATAAATTATTAACTACAGGCACAAAATATGTTATGTTATGTGCTTGCAATTAACATATTTTGTGCCTGTAGTTAACAATTTATGTGTCTATAGTTATCATATTATGTATTTGTTTTACCATGTTATATGCTTTCAATTTGTTTACAGGTACAAAAAGTTAACTGTAGGTACAGAATATGTAACTGTAAGTACATAATTTGAATGTTATTATTGGATCATAATCCACAATGCAAGGTAGACATTGGTCCATGACATAATTTGCCAATTTTCTTGGAATCTAATTGCCTAAAGATGTCCAACGTCTTATTGCAAAAAGGAATGAAAAATTACCTTGTGTTGCTGTAAACTATTGTGCAGCCAAGAAATTCTTCCGTTTAATTTCCTGCAAATATTTATTTAAACAACTTCATAGATGGTGAATCATAGATATTCATATCAATTCATTGGAACATAATTTTACGCACTACTGTTTTTTCAATGTACATGTAGATTTAGCAGCAAATTTAAAAAAAAAAAAAATCGAATACATAGTCATCTATGTAACAATGAAATTAATAATAATAAAAAATAAATAGAAAAACAAAGTTGATATAATCTCAAGTCTCAACTTCATTTTCTCTCTAAACAAGGTGTTTTTTTTTTTTTTTAAGAAGGTAAAGTAGTTTCCGATCTCCAAAAATCAAGTTAGAATTTTTTTAAAAAATATCAAGGTAAACCTCTCTACTATGTAACTATGTAAATATGAGTCAAAAGAATTGTGTATATTTAATTGATTGGATGCTGGTGTACAATTATTTATATTAAATTATATTAGTAAACATTATTGCTTATGTTTCATTTATTGTGATGAGATAAGCAACTACTGCTTTGTTTGATTGGACATGATAACATTCCATAATTTAGAACATTTCACATTTCAGGCAATAATGATTGGATGTTGAACATGCAGATTAAGATTTAAGAGATGTTTTAAATTCATTGACGACTTCAAAGGATAACATTTCCTATCGAAACTCAACATTTCACATTCCACGCAATAATGATGGGATGTTAAACATGCAGATTAAGAAATGTTTTAAATTCATTGATCACTTCAAAGGACAGTGGTCCATATGGAAATTCAATGCTTACAAAGTAAGTTGCAGACTCAATAGGTATAGTGCTTCTTTATATTATTGTCTAGGTATTATGATTCAATTAATGAGTAGGACAAGTAAGCTGCCTCTATTGACTATTGTTATAAAAACATATATAATAGAAAATTATTGACTTGAGATATGAATTAAAGTCTTTTGGATATGAATTAGAATCTTGTTGGGATTTTCAAATCGAACCGAAGTCCGAACTGATAAGTGTCAAAATGTTCATGTTTTCACCTTGCATTTAAGTTTATTTTCCTTGTAATTTTACCCAAAGTATCATCACTCATTTGATTCATTTAATTTGTGTGTTTATGTTGGGTAAAATCCCACCACCTGTGACAAATAAAATCACAGGACCGACAAGAGCGCAAATACGAGATGGTACAAAACAGCCAAAATAAATAACAGACACAAGGGACACAAGATTTACGTGGAAAACCCCAAACCACGGGGAAAAACCACGGACCACCACCAACACAATATTCCACTATAACAAATCTTGGGTACAAAGTTGCTGGCTACCACCCGAGCCATACACCCAAAAAATCATCAAATACAACAACTCTAGGCCAAATACATTCCATCACGTTCACAGGCCTAAAAGGGATACCAACTCGTACTCAAAATATTCAACCACCACGAACAAGGTGAAAAAGAATACAAATATTACGAGCTTACCCAAAACGATGATGTCTGGAACAAACACTGACCTCTACAAATATTTGATGAAGAAATTAAAGTACCCCAAAGATCTCCGGCAAACTCATGGCAAATTCATCAGACGTGCGACAAAACCTGCCGACACATGCCGCCGCCGTGCCACCAAACAAGCTAGGCAAACCCACGACAAAGTAGCACAAAAAGAAGAATAAATAGATGGTTCTCCTTCAACTGCTGCATACGGCCGTGAAAAGGAAGAAGAAGAAAAATGGATTTTTCCTCTCTCTATGCCTACTGCTTGTGCCGAAAGGAAATGGAATAAATGTGTAATGTAGAAGCTTATAGAAGTGTGTGGTGATAGCAGTAAACAAATGAGTTCATCCCCCTTTTATAATGTTTACTGCCGACATGGGGAAAGGAAGGAAGGAAGGATAGCTTTCAACTTCTTCCCATTATCTTTGCTTTTCAACTTCAACCCAAATTCCTTCACTCCAACTTCCACCCAAATTCCTTCACTCTAACTTCCACCCTTCAACTTCTACCCAATAACCCATTCTCCAACCCAAACAATTGTCAGCAAACTTTTCAATCAAGCTAACAAATATTTTAGTGGAATAGGCTTGGTCCAAAATGAGCTATTTACCACATAGGAGGGAAGCCCCAACCCAACAAATCTCCCCCTCCCGACTATGTGGAAGATATCGCCGTCCCGGCGACACAGCAACAAACCTCAAGTGATCTAACTTCCATTGGTCCACACACATCAAAATGTATCAACTCTGATGCACATTCCTTTGTTGCCACATTCACTGAACCACCAGAAATAGAGCCTTGCAAAGAGTACAAGTTAGAAAACTTGTTACCTCGTGCAACAACCAGTGAGCCTTTAGCAATTTTCCACTGTCCATCACCAAAGAAACAGCAGAAACCATCATCATCAAGGTTTCCAGTAGAAATAAGATTCAGTCTGATACCCGGTGCATGCTTTACATTTTTAAGTACCAGCTTTGTGCCATTGCTGGTCTCAAGACAAACTGTACCGGTACCAATCACCTTCACCTGACCATCATCACCCATTCTTAGCTCTCCAAAATCTCCTGGAGTATATGAAGCAAAGAATTCCTTCCTTTGTGTAACATGGTAGGCTGCACTTGAATCCACAATCCAAGTTGTCTCATGGCAAGCAACATTGATGGCATTCTTCCAAAATCTCCTGGAGTATATGAAGCAAAGAATTCCTTCCTTGGTGTAACATGGTAGGCTGCACCTGAATCCACAATCCAAGTTGTCTCATGGCAAGCAACATTGATAGCATTCTCATCGCAGGCGACAAGTAAATCTCCTCCAACCATTGCAACTCGGTTCCCGGTGACATCATCATCATCTTGCTCCTTGTCACTTTTCAACTTGAAGCAAAAATTTCTTGATATGTCCTCTCCTGCCACAATAATAACATTCAACATCTCTACCCTTCTGACCATTTTGCCTGTTTCTCCCCCTATTTTCTGTAACCAAAATCTCTGACTGAGAAATGGAGGTGTTTTGAGATCTTCTTCTTGCTTCTTCATTCAAGATACCACTCTTGACATACTCCATGGTCACAACGCCGTTGGGAGCAGAATTGGTCAAAGAAACCCAAAATGTTTCCCAAGAATCAGGTAGAGTGTTAAGTAACCAGAGACCAAGTACCTCATCCTCAAATGTGATGCCCATGCTTGACAACTGATCAAGAACACCCTGGAAATCATTAACATGATCATTGATCAACGTACCTTCCTTGTATCTTAAATTCATCAACTGCTTCAACAAGAACATCTTGTTATTGCATGTCTTGGAAGCATACAGGGTCTCAAGCTTATCCCACAGGCTCTTGGCATTCGACTCATTAATAACATGGTTCAGAACATTGTCTTCGACCCATTGTCGAATATAACCAAAAACTTATTGGTTATCAAAGTCCCACTCCTCGTTTGACATATTTGTTGGCTTTGCACTTGCAAACACAGGTAGGTGCAATTTCTTCACAAACAGGAGATCCTTCATTTTAGCCTTCCAAATGTGAAAGTTTCTACCATTCAAGCGCACAATATTAATCGTATTTGCCTCCATGTCAAATGTGCCCAATCAACAACCAAGGCTCTGATACTACTTTGTTGGGAAAAATTCCACCACCTGTGACAAATAAAATCACAGGACCGACAAGAGCGCAAATACGAGATGGTGCAAAACAGCCAAAATAAATAACAGACACAAGGGACACAAGATTTACGTGGAAAACCCCAAAACCACGGGGAAAAACTACGGACCACCACCAACTCAATATTCCACTATAACAAATCTTGGGTACAAAGTTGCTAGCTACCACCCGAGCCAAACACCCTAAAAATCATCAAATACAACAACTCCAGGTCAAATACATTCTATCACGTTCACAGGCCTAAAAGGGATACCAACTCGTACTCAAAATATTCAACCAACACGAACAAGGTGAAAAGAATACAAATATTACGAGCTTACCCAAAACGATGATGCCTGGAACAAACACTGACCTCTACAAATATTTGATGAACAAAAGTACCCCAAAGATCTCCGGCAAATTCATCAGACGTGCGACAAAACCTGCCGACACACGTCGCCGCCGTGCCACCAAACAAGCTAGGCAAACCCACGACAAAGTAGCACAAAAAGAAGAATAAATAGATGGTTCTCCTTCAACTGCTGCATACGGCCGTGAAAAGGAAGAAGAAGAAATGGATTTTTCCTCTCTCTATGCCCACTGCTTGTGCCGAAAGGAAATGGAATAAATGTGTAATGTAGAAGCTTATAGAAGTGTGTGGTGATAGCAGTAAACAAATGAGTTCATCCCCCTTTTATAATGTTTACTGCCGACATGGGGAAAGGAGGGAAGGAAGGATAACTTTCAACTTCTTCCCATTATCTTTGCTTTTCAACATCAACCCAAATTCCTTCACTCCAACTTCCACCCAAATTCCTTCACTCTAACTTCCACCCTTCAACTTCTACCCAATAACCCATTCTCCAACCCAAACAATTGTCAGCAAACTTTTCAATCAAGCTAACAAATATTTTAGTGGAATAGGCTTGGTCCAAAATGAGCTATTTACCACATAGGAGGGAAGCCCCAACCCAACAGTTTATGTGTAATTCTTGATGATTTAGATAGATTGAATGATTTTTGGGGCATTTCGGATGCATGTTGAGTCAATGGGAGCCAATTAGAAGCTATGAAGATGGGGCAACACCTCTTAGAGAGCTAAATTGTGGTGTGTTTAGTAGTCATATCTCTGCGTAGGAATAACTTGGTCATATCTTGGTCATATCTCTGTGTAGGAATGTCCAAATATAATTATTTTTATGTTATTGGAAAGATAACTTGAAGGGCTACAGCTTTTATGAACACCACAAATGCTAATTTAAAGGTTTTGAGGGTGAAAAATAACCTAGAAGTCAAAGACGCTGCGCAGGATTCTCCCTGAAGGTAGCCACGGGATTGGCCACACCCGTGGCCATTCCTATAGCCACATTCTAGTATAGGCGCCTTTCTGGCCACGGGATCGGCCACACCCGTGGCTAGCCTTCTTTGTTTGTATTTAACCCCGTTTTCAACCATTTCAACATGGTTCCAATCCATTTTAGAACCCTAGCTTCTCTCTTTCATTTTCTTTGATAGTTTTAGGTTAGATCAGACTTATATTTAGTTTCTTAAACATTTTGGAAGCTTCGATTGAAGCATTTAATCTTGGATTTCAAAGATTTCATATCCATTTTCAATAGATAAGTTTTTCTTCTCTTTATTTCATTCCTTTGCTATTTACTTTCTTGCTTTGATCTTATATGTTGTGTTTGTTATGGATTTCCTTGTTGATTATGAATATTGTGTTATTTTCATTATGCTTATGTGTGATTAGTTCTCCTTGGAGGAAGGTAGGGATGTGTGCTAGGTGTTTGATGGATGATTTTAAACTGGTTAAGGAAAGTTGAGACTTGACCTTGATGTTGTTGATTGACATGATTATTTGAGTCCCGATTAGAGATTGACAACCTAGTCTAAGTTCAAGGAGTTGATCAACCATGCTTCACCTTTGAGAAAAGGGGAGTGTGTGATGTTATGAACACCAAGTGTTGGATGAAATGCCTCTTAAACATTCTTGAGCCATGAGAATGTCCTTGAATGTTCTAGGGGTGTGGGATGACCTTGAGAAAGGCTTCCCTATCGTTATATGACATCTATCATCTTTTGGCCCCCAATTTGGTTTCACTATCTTGACCTACCTTTAGTTCCTATCTACCTCCAATTTTTTATCATTGTTATTCATTAAAAGCATTGATTCGTTAAAAACCAACGATTCGTTAACACCAACAAATCATTAAAACCAACAAATCGTGCATATCAACCTGAGTAGAATTCGGTTCCAATCGTACGTAAAATTCATATTTCCCAATTTACTTTCTACCAAATTAAAATAATATTTATAACTCTACAACTCCAAATATTATTTAAGCTTTTATGATAGTCCATTTGAAACATTAATCTCCATTTATAAATTTCCAACACATACTACAACCAATTTTGAAGTTTGGTTATCAGATCTTTTTAAGCAAACGGATAAGGACAAACTACAGAATTACCTTGCTGTTTGCTGGTGCTTGTGGAAGAGAAGAAATGATTGGGTGTGGGGTAGAAAAGCTTGGACTCTACAAGGGATAAAGGTGATGATTGAGAACTGTGTGGCTGATTGGCAAATTTCTGATGATAATTTGGCTGCTATTTCCTCTCATGCGCAGAATGTGGTAGAACATAATATTCAAATCCCAGTTTCGACTTTTGTTGAAGTTGACGCCTCCATTCCACAGACCACAAATTCTGGATTCTATGGTGTTGTTGTATTATCAAATAATGGTAATTTTGTGGTTGCAAAATCTAGTCCCATTTGATGCTTAAATAATCCCCATCTTGCGGAGGCAATGGCAATGAATGAGGCTCTTTCATAGATTCTTGTGCAAGGTTGGCGTAATGTGATTGTTCGCTCAAATTGTCAGATGGTGTATAAACTTCTCAACCAGGACTGTCCGGATTATTCATATGCAGGTTATGTTGTAAGGCACTGTCAGAATCTCAAACGACACTTTGAATCAGAGTCTATCAAGTATGTTTCTCGATCGGTGAACAAGTGTGCTCATGCTTTAGCTAGGGCTGCGAGTTCTCAGTCTGATCATATTAGTTGGTTTTCATCTATTCTTGGTTGTATTGAACGTTTTATTTCATGATATTAATACTATTGCTTTGGTTTTCAAAAAAAAAAAACAAAACAAAAACAAAATTAAGGAGAGAAATTACTCTAAACTGTAACTCATATTTAATCAAACATTGATAAAATATAATAACTTTGAACTAAAGAAATTGAAGAAAAAATATTACTTTTAAATTCTTTGGATTGTAGACCAGGGAAAGATTTTTATTGATTGTGTAGTCTGGATCAACTCAACTATAAGTTTAGTTGTGCATTGATAAATGTAATAATCTTAAACTTAAAAAAATTAAAAATTTTAAAAATAAAAAAGATATTTTTATTTTGAAAGTTGTGGGCCGAGTCAAACCCACATTTAAAGTTGTCAATCGTTATGCGTTGGACCCGTGTCCAGCATGCTTGCTGGACACGGGTAACAGTGCCGTTAGGCACTGTTATCTCCTTTTTTTTTTTTTTTTTTTTTTTTTTTTTTTTTCAAAATGTCAGACCGCTTCATTGTAAGAGTATATGTTCATAATTTTATTACTATATGTTAATAACTATACATTCATAACTCCATAACTGTACGTTCATAACTCTATAACTGTACATTCATAACTCCATAACTGTACATTCATAACTCCATAACTGTACATTCATAACTCCATAATTGTACATTCATAATTTTCGAAGCTCTATGTTCACAATTTTAGAGCTCTATGTTCATAATTTTATCACTATATATTCATAATTGTAAGTTCATAACGTTAGAACTCTTTGTTCATAATTTGATCAATAACTGTACATTCATAATTCCATACTGTAGATTCATAATCTCATAACTGTAGATTCATAACTCCATAACTGTAGATTCATAACTCTATAACTGCACATTCATAACTCCATAACTGTACATTCATAATCTTCGAAGCTCTATATTCACAATTTTAAAGCTCCATGGTCATAATTTTATCACTATAGATGTTCATAATTGTAAGTTCATAATGTTAGAGCTCTGTGTTCATAATTTCATAATTGCATAACTGTATATTCATAACGGCATAACTGTACATTCATAACGGCATAACTGTACATTCATAATCCAAAAAAAAAAAAAAAAAAAAAAAAAAAAAACGCCGTTAACGCTGTTAACGACAAAACGCGCGCGATTTTTTTTTTATAACTAAATGACGCGTTTTTTTATAAAAACGACGTCGTTTTGGGCCCGTGTCCACAATTCAATGTGGACACGGGTCCAGGGCATAATTTGCCTAAAGTTGTAAAAAAAACATATCAAAATCTCTTTATAAGTCTATTCATCACTCTAGACTTGTTCTAAATTGACACCATATAATTCCATGCTACTGACATTAATTAAGAATAACGTGGACACAATCCCAGCAAAATACAAAGTTGTCAAATTTCACATTATTTTATTATTATTCCAAAAGGCTGAACCCCAACCCTAAAGGCCCCCACACCCCGGCCCGACAGAGCATTTGGGAGGAATTTCACATTATTTTATCTATTTACATTATGTGGATAAAGGCATACAAAGCACAAACATTATAGTTATTACACCTTGCACACACATTTTTTACATTTAATGGGTACAAAATAAATACATAATTATGTTTTTGGTGGCAGCAATACTTGATTTAGATATGCTCCAAGGGCCCATATGGGGAAAATGTTTCTGTAAGCAGAGTAACTTATCATGCAGTTCTTGTTAAATACTCCCATAATACCCTGTCATATACAAGCTCCATCATAATATACACATCATACTCAATTCCAAGAAATATCAAGAATTATTAAAATAGATGCAAAAAAAATGTATTAAAAAAAAATCACCTGTTGTGGAAAATCTCCATTTTCCATTTGGGAATTGATTAACACTTTAGCTGCTTGGTGGAGTGGGGTGGGATCTCTCTTGGCCTTACATCAATAAACAATTAAAAGTGGTATAAAAAAAAATGTGCACAGTGTATACTAACCATAATTTATTTTTTATGCATTAATTAATCTCATACATAGATTTTGTGTCAATTATTTTGAATTTTTGTCCCACAATTATTACATCTTTGTAGCTTGTGATCTCTAAGTATTATTTTTACCACATTAAATGCACAATTTTTAAGTTTTTGCGACATTTAATCCTTCAATTTTAACCAAACTTCGGGTAGAAAATAGTTAGAATGCATTATATTTCCATTTCAGCCAATTTGAAAACCTTGATACTTTTGGAGAGAAACATTATGATTGCAAATGGTAAATATGATGCATTCTAATTATTTTTTGGGAAAAGGACACTTTTTTTTTTCTTGAATTATAATACTATAGTTTATTTTTCCCCTGGCGCATCCATTTTCCCCCCTTAGTTATCCTCAAAGTGAATGTTTTTACCTAAACTAGTATTTTCACCCGTGCGATGCACGGAATGGAATTGTTATAATATATTAAGAATATTTAAATCGATAAAGAGTTAATTTCACCAGAGGTCGCTTATCTTTTCTGACAATTCCAAATTTAATCCTAGAATATAGTTATTAATTATTACGATTTATTCTATGTTATAATTCTTATGTTAATATTCTTACTATTATTATTAACACTTATTATAATGGTCGTGAGGCACAATAATAATATAACCATAATTAAATATTATTGTATTGTATTCCGGAGTTAATGTCATTTTTGGTCCTAGACTTATTGAGGCATTGACACTTTTTATCTTCCATAATAAAAATTGCCACTTAGTAGACACTGTTATTGGTCGTTGGACAGTTACAATGAAGCCGTTTGTTGACCGTGAATTAGAAGGGCTTTTCTGTCTTTTTATGTCGTATTCTTCTAATCTTGTTTAGACCAGCGCTGCTGTGACTCTTGTGAGGCGAGATGGCGAGACTTGGCGGCTAAGTAGTAACCGTCGGTAGTGAGTAGCAGCGAGGTTCTTCTCCGGCGAGTTGTGGGACGGCGGCGAGCATACGAGGCAGTAACTCCTTCCGGCGACGGACCAGTAAGGCAGATCTGGCGGTGCAGCAACAGACCCGGCGAGGTTGGGGCCTTCACCGATGGTTTTTGGTTCCGGCGAAGCAGACAGGGCAGCAGGTCGGCGAACCCTCCTATTGTAAATAGCAGTTTTAGTTGTAGATGGCGTGGTGTAGAATTTGCACCTGTAAGTCCTCCCTTCCATATTGACCACAAATATCCTTCCCATCTCTCTCTCTCTCTCTCTCTCTCTGACCACAACTACTTGGTGCACAACCTCAAAAACTCTGTTATTCTACCTGAAATTCATTGAAGTTTCAAGCTGAAAATGTGGAATCCGCCGCTCTCCAAAAATCGCATTGTCTGAGGTGTTGGAATGGCCGATGTTGACTTCCTGGCTGCTGTAGCTTCATTCCCCAACCCGGATGATAAAATTCGGAGCACCAGCTTTGAGGTTCAAGGAGGTGGTAACACTGGCAATGCTTTGATAAAACCCGGATGATAAAATTCGTCTTGGTCTTAATCCAAGGATCATATCTAAGGTTGCTGATGACTCACATGGCGAAAGAATACTTGATGAGCTTGAAAGGGATGGTGTTGATACATCTTTTATGGTGGTGTCCAAAGGAGGAAACTCACCATTCACATATGTCATTGTTGACAACAAAAAAAAAAAAAAAAAAAAAAAAAAACGTGCACGTGCATTTTCACTCCAGGATATCCACCCATGATATCTGAGGGTCTACATACCCAAATCAAAATTGTCTTCAGCGCTTGGAGTAAATATTGTCTACTTAGATGGAAGGCTGCATGAGACTGCTTTGATTATAGTGCAGGAAGCAAAGAGTAGGGGCATACCTATTATAGTTGATGCAGAAAGGTTAGGGAAGGGGTTGGGTGATATTCCTGACTTTGCTAGTTATGTTGTATGCTCAACAAAATTTCCACAGGCATGGACTAACGCCCTTTCTATTCCAACTGCACTTGTTTCCATTATTTTGAGATTGATGTCAAATGTAAAATTTGTGATTGTTAGCTGGGTGAAGATGATTTCTTAATGTTAGAAAGGACTGAAGCGGATAACCTCAGTTTGAAGAAATGGATGTAGCAGTGACCAATGGATGGAGAAATACAAGGATTAGAACATAAAAAGACAGAAAAACCCTTCTAATTCACGGTCAACAAACGGCGTCATTGACGGAGGATCAAAACTGTTCAACGATCAATAACAGTGACTACTAAGTGGCAATTTTTATTATGGAGGATGAAAAGTGTCAATGCCCCAATAAGTCTAGGACCAAAAATGGCATTAACTCTTGTATTCCGTGAGTCACAATAATAATATAACAATAATTAAATATTGTTCAATTCTATATTCTTCTAGGATTTCTATTACCATCATTAATTATTCCCAAATTTACCATAATTAAATAATTTGACCAATTATAAAGAAAAATTATTAAATAATGCACAGGACAATTGTTAAATTAAAAATTTTAAAAATTCATTAATAAAACATAAGGTTCTCATAGTTTTTTTCTTAAAAACTCTTTAATAAAGTATTTTTTTTAGAAATTGGTGGGCCAAACCGCCTACGGCAGTTTGCAGTGGATAGATCTCGAAAAAATACGCGATTTCAAAAAAGTATTTGTCCAAAACAGACAACGGAGTCAAAAGTTATGCCTTGCCGAACTTTTGACACTTTACAACTTAAAAAAATAAAAAATAAAAAAATAAAGGCCGGTTCAGCCGGCGAGGTGGCCGCCGAGGAGGCCGATTCCGGCCTTCCTCGCCGCAGCCAGCGACACGATTTTTGCAACACTGATATATAAAATAGATATAGATTAGAATAGGAATAGTATTACACAATTTTATAATATTAAAATAAAAGTTTAACCCAGAATTATTGTAGAAATCAATATATTTTATTAGGAAGAGAGATTTTTTAGGAATTGTGCCAGAAGTTAAAATTTCAGGATTTTGTTTTTATATATAGTATAGATGTGCAAAGAGAATTGTATTACACTATTTTAAAATTTTAAAATAGAATTTTTACGCAGAATTATTGTACGAATGGAAAAGTAGAAAATCAATATATTTTATTGTGAAGAGAGATTTTTTAGAAATTGGGCGGGATGTTAAAATTTTAGGATTTTGTTATTATATATAGTATAGATGTACAAAGAAAATTGTATTACACTATTTTAAAATTTAAGAATAGAATTTTTACCCAGAATTATTGTACGAATGGAAAAGTAGAAATCAATATATTTTATTGGGAAGCGATATTTTTTAGAATTGGGCGGAAAGTTAAAAATCCAGGATAACGTTTTTATATATAGTATAGATTGTATTACAGTATTTTATAATAATATTAGAATAGAATTTTAACGCAGAATTATTGTACGAATGAGAAAGTAGAAATCAATATATTTTATTAGGAAGAGAGATTTTTTAGGAATTGGGCGGGAAGTTAAAATTTAAGGATTTTGTTTTTATATATAGTATAGATAGATTGTATTACACTATTTTTCAAAAAAAAAAAAAAAGATTGTATTACACTATGTTATAATAATATTAGAATAGAATTTTAACGCAGAATTATTGTACGAATGGGAAAGTAGAAATCAATATATTTTATTAGGAAGAGAGATTTTTTAGGAATTGGGCGGGAAGTTAAAATTTCAGGATTTTGTTTTTATATATAGTATAGATTGTATTACACTCTGTTATAATAATATTAGAATAGAATTTTAACGCAGAATTATTGTACGAATGGGAAAATAGAAATCAATATATTTTATTTGGAAGAGAGATTTTTTAGGAATTGGGCGGGAAGTTAAAATTTCAGGATTTTGTTTTTATATATAGTATAGACTCATTAGCTATTTGCGGTTGGCATCCAAAATTCTAAAAAATGATAGATTTTTTTATTAAATAGAAATATTAGCTAAATCATTCAATGTCATTGTTCGTATTTAACCCAAACATACAAAATAAATAAAATAAGTTATCCTAATTCTCGCTTTCAAATCCTAATTACATGTCTAAAAATTTGAATTGAGAAAAATTATCTTGTCTATTTTGTATGCTGAAGTTAAAAGAATAATGACATTATGAGATTTAACTGATATTCTAAAACAAAAAAAAAAAAAAAAAAAAACCCCTCATTTTTAAAGATTTTTTTAATGTCTACCATGAATAGTTAATGAGTTTAAGTAAAAATAGCCACTTAGGGATAATTGATGGAGCTGAGAAAAGTGCCATTTGCAACAAGCAATATACCAAATGTGGAAAGAAAATCTTGGGATCATGTTGTGGGACAAAATATGAAAATAATTTACTTTGTGTTCAATATATTTTTACAATTTTTTTTTTTAATAATTACAAGATATCATGTCTACTATTATAAATAGAAAAAGACATCGACATATTTGTAAATAAAACATTAGTGATTATTTATAAAAATCTTATCTCCCACTTTTATTTACAAAATTACCTGACCAGCTTCAATAAGAGCCAGCATAGCCCATGCAGTGTTCACAATGTGCCATTTGTTGCCTTCAATATTTGTATATACCTATTCTCCAATAGCATATTTATATAAAATAATTAAGAAGAAACAAATAAGGCTCTTGAAAAAAAACTTTATAAAAATAATAAAGGAAAAAAAAAAGAGATGTATTAATAATACA